CACACACATGCACACACATGCACACACCTGCACACACAGATGCATGCACACGCAAACAGTGCACGCACGCACACAAGCCACACACATGCATGCACACATCACACATGCGCATGCACACACACACACACACACACACACACACACACACACACACACACCACACGCACACACGCACGCACGCACGCACACGCATGCACACATCACACGCGCGCATGCACACATCACACTCTTTCATGCACACAGACAGCATATGCACGCACGTGCGTGCCGGCATGCACGCACGCACTCACACACATGAACACATGCATACTAAGAGACACAAGCACTAAAGCTCCACTTCTTCATCTCGATCCCAATTGCCTCTCGTCTGCCCATGCCAGTCACATGCCACGTGGATGCTAGTGTGCCGGAGGTGCTGGTGGGGGACTACCTGCGCCTGCGGAAAGTGGTGGACAGCATCGTTGGTGAGCCAGCTACCGCCAAGTTTGCAGTTTCTATCGAGTGTTGATCTTCTCACATGGCATCGCTGCTGCTGCTCGGTGTGTAAGTCCATATTGCAACAAAGAAAACCATATTGTTTCCTGCAGCTCAGTCTTCATGCCCTTTACTCTTCGCCCAGACAGAGTGCACGCCGTGCAGCCCTGTGTCTTTCTTCGAATCCATGTGCATCGCAGCCAACACCATCAAGTTCACATGTGCCCCTCTCACACATTCCACTCCCCTTGTGCCTCCCCTTGTGCCTCCCCTGTGACTCCCCCTGTGACTCCCCCTGTGCCTCCCCTGTGCCTCCCCCTGTGCCTCCCCTTGTGCCTCCCCCTGTGCCTCCCCCTGTGATTCCCCTGTGCCTCCCCCTGTGCCTCCCCTGTGCCTCCCCTGTGCCTCCCCTGTGCCTCCCCCTGTGCCTCCCCTGTGCCTCCCCTGTGCCTCCCCTGTGCCTCCCCCTGTGCCTCCCCCTGTGCCTCCCCTGTGCCTCCCCCTGTGATTCCCCTGTGGCTCCCCTGTGCCTCCCCCTGTGCCTCCGCCTGTGCCTCCCCTGTGCCTCCCCCTGTGCCTCCCCCTGTGCCTCCGCCTGTGCCTCCCCTGTGCCTCCCCCTGTGCCTCCCCCTGTGCCTCCCCCTGTGCCTCCCCTTGTGCCTCCCCCTGTGCCTCCCCCTGTGCCTCCCCCTGTGCCTCCCCCTGTGCCTCCCCCTGTGCCTCCCCTGTGCCTCCCCTGTGCCTCCCCCTGTGCCTCCCCCTGTGCCTCCCCCTGGTGCCTCCCCGCCTGTGCCTCCCCCTGTGCTCCCCTGGTGCTCTGTGCCCCCCTGTGCCTCCCCCTGTGTCCCATGTCCTCCATCTCCCCTGTGCCCCTCCCAGACAACGCCGTCAAGTTCACGTCCAGTGGAGGGTGTGTGTGCGGCTGCAGTGTCTTTCCCCCCCACACCAACATCCCTGCTCACCTGCTCTCCCTCGGCTGCTCCGTCGTTGAAAGCACCCCCTGCTCCTCCCCCCTGCTGCTGCTTCTACGATTACTGCCAGCAGCACCACAGCTGTGGTGGCGCCGTGCAGTGAGGAGGAGGGCATTGCTTGTGCGCCCTTTTCTGGGATCACGTGGCGCGCCGGAGGGCCGGTGAGTGCGGTGGTGACCGGTGCTGCCGGCAGGTGGGCGTGCTCACTGCCCAAGGTCTCACGTGCTACTGGCGCATGCCCCGGTGAAGGAGGACGCGGGCGGGGAGGCAGGTCAGGCGGAGCAGGGTTGTTCCATGGGAGAGGATGTGGAAGAGCACATGGGGGGGATGAGGCAGGTGCAAACGTGGATGGAGGCTGTGGGAGGCTGGTGTGGCGCCAAGGAGGGGAGTAGTAGGGGGTGGCAGGGGGGGTGCGTGGATGGATGCAGTGGGCGGTGGTGGGGCAGGGCCACCATGCCAGGGTGCCTGGTGCCTGGGGATGCTCCGAGGGCGATTGGTGCTGCTGCTGACGTGTGAGGACATGGGTGTGGGATAGCGGAGGAGGAGCAAGCTGATGTCTTCCACGCGTTCATGCAGGTGAGCGCTAATGCAGGTGAACGCTCGTGCAGGTGAGCGCTCGTGCAGGTGAGCGCTCGTGCAGGTGAGCTCTCGTGCAGGTGAGCCCTCGTGCAGGTGAGCGCTCGTGCAGGTGAGCCCTCGTGCAGTGAGCGCTCGTGCAGGTGAGCGCTCGTGCAGGTGAGTGCTCGTGCAGTTGAGCGCTGGTGCAGGTGAGCGCTCGTGCAGGTGAGCGCTCGTGCAGGTGAGCGCTCGTGCAGGTGAGTGCTCGTGCAGGTGAGCGCTCGTGCAGGTGAGCGTTCGTGCAGGTGAGCTCTCGTGCAGGTGAGCGTTCGTGCAGGTGAGCTTTCGTGCAGGTGAGCGTTCATGCAGGTGAGCGCTCATGCAGGTGAGCTCGAAGAATGTTCACGCATTGTGGTGTTTGGGCACTGGGGTGTTTGGGCACTGGGGTGTTTGGGCACTGGGGTGTTTGGGCATTGGGGTGTTTGGGCACTGGGGTGTTTGGGCATTGGGGTGTTTGGGCATTGGGGTGTTGGGGCATTGGGGGTGTTTGGGGCATTGGGATGTTTGGGCATTGGGTGTTTGGGCACTGGGGTGTTTGGGCACTGGGGTGTTTGGGCGTTGGGGTGTTTGGGCACTGGGGTGTTTTGGGCACTGGGGTGTTTGGGCACTTGGGTGTCTGGGCACTGGGGTGTTGGGCACTGGGTGTTTGGGCACTTGGGTGTTTGGGCACTCAGGTGTTTGGGCACTGGGATGTTTGGGCACTGCGGTGCTTGGGCACTTGGGTGTTTGGGTACTGGGGTGTTGGGACTTGAAAAAGTTTGTGTGTGTTTTGTTTGGCAACATGGTATGTGTCTGCCGTCGTTCTTTTCTTGTGAGAACTGTGTGCCAAAATCTCCATATTGTTGAAACTTGATCCTGTTTTCGTGGCAATCAGCAAACCTCATGCCACAGCTCATCGGTTCCTTCTTGTTCATCGTTTCCTACTTGTGTTGTTTCGATCCGCATCAGCCGCATCACAAGAGGCATGCGCATGGCGGTAGTGGCTTAAGTCTTCACATATCAAAACAACTGGTACGTGGTTCGCATGTTAATATCCTAAAGGAAGGAGGTTTGCGATTATGAAGGTGGACGAGGGGCTGCGAAGGCGGGCGAGGGGCTGCAAAGGCGGGCGAGGGGCTGCGAAGGCGGGCGAGGGGCTGCGAAGGCGGGCGATGGGCTGCGAAGGCGGGCGAGGGGCTGCGAAGGCGGGCGAGGGGCTGCGAAGGCGGGCGAGGGGCTGCGAAGGCGGGCGAGGGGCTGCGAAGGCGGGCGAGGGGCTGCGAAGGCGGACGAGGGCCGGTGAAGGCGGGCGAGGGGCCGGTGAAGGCGGGCGAGGGGCCGGTGAAGGCGGGCGAGGGGCCGTGAAGGCGGGCGAGGGGCCGTGAAGGCGGGCGAGGGGCCGTGAAGGCGGACAAGGGGCCGTGAAGGCTGACGAGAGGCTGTGAAGGTGGACGACGGATGAATGGGAGCAGAGTGGAATGGACATGCAAAGGAATGGAAACAATAGACATACTATGCTACTTTGTGATGCCTCACAGCCGTCTCCACGCCTGGACATCCATTTCAACTGTCCCTCAGAAGTGGCAGCATTAGTTTGCTTCCAGTAGCTTCTAACCTCTCTCCCCCGCCTCCCTTTACCCGGATGTCAACCTACCCAGGTGGCTCTCATGGGCGGCAGCATCGGTCTGCTCAGCACGGAGGGCCGTGGCACCACGCTGCATGTCGCGCTGCCCATGGCCTCTGCTCCCTCTGCTGATGAATGTGCCACGCGCACAGGCGTTTGCAGTGGCGCTGCTGCTGCTGCCGCTAGTCCCTTCGCAGCCTGCTGTGCAAGGAGTCCCTTGAACAGTCACGAACAACTGGCAGCAGGGGAGAGCGGTGAAGGGGCGGGGTGCACAGGGATTGGGGGACAGGCGAGGGCAGCAGGTGTGGAGGCAGGCGGACGCACACAGCAGGCAGCGGCACGGGGAGTGGGAGAGGTGGAGAGGCGTGGTTTGGAGGTGAAGTGGGGTAGTGCCAAGGAGGCTCTGCAGGAGATGATGCGCGGCATGGCCATCCTGGTGAGGCGCACGGCAATGCATTGTCGTTTCTCCTCCGCTCCGTGCCCAGGTGGTGGCCGACAATGTGGTCAACCTCATATGTGTGTCCCCATCGACGTTTACCGTGTGTGCCAACCCTCCCTTTCACCTCCCTTCCAGGTGGTGGACGACAATGTGATAAACCGGCGGGTGGCAGCGAGCACGCTGGGGCGATACGGTGCTGACGTCACACTGGCAGAGTCAGGCGAGGCGGCTCTGCTGCTGCTGCGGCCTCCGCACTCCTTCCGCCTCGTGCTCATGGACCTCCACATGCCCCTCATGGACGGGTGTGTATGCGGCTGTCGAGCATGCATGCCTACCCCACGTGCATGTGGTTACGCCGCTCACAGGTTTGCATGCCCAGACCACATACAGATATCAGCACACAGCTGCCAGAAAAGATGTCTGTGCTTTCAGCACATGCACAGCACCCACCTCATGCCGTGCACCCACCTCATGCCATGCACCCACCTTCTCAAAGCGTAGTTGAGAGCAGAGCAATCTTGCATGACTGAGCACGTACGAAATCCGTCGTCCCATCGTCCCCCTCAGTCGTTGGCCGCCTCCCTATGCTGTTCACCCTCTCTTTCCTTGACCTGACAGGTACGAAACTGTCACTCGGCTACGCGGCATGGAGCAGGATTCAGATGGTGCGGGGAGGGCAGACTGCATGCAGCCCACGTGGGTGGTGGCCATGTCAGCCGACGTTGACAGCGCAGTTGCGGCCCGCGCTGCACAAGTGGGCATGAATGGGGTCATGCAGAAACCACTCAACGAGAAACAACTCTTGTATGTCCTGAGAACTCTATGATTAACAAACATATTACCGTTAATTAACCACTAATTTATCGACGACAACACGACATGACCATAGCACAATTGTGTAACGTCACTAACTACTGCAATAAGGCGGGTGCCTCCTCCCTCCCTGGAAAGGGGTTTTTATCCACCCATATTGTGACGCGTCACGGGTCTGCTATATCGGAAATGTACCTACAAGACTTATTGCTGGCACAACAAGGTGCCAAAACCCATCCTGATTGGGCCGCAAGGCATCTTTCTTGCCTTGCTGTGATGGCCACACATTCGTCTGGCCATTTGACATGCATTCTGTATGTATCTCCATTTGGGAGCATAACCGCCAGGGCCAGGGATTCAAGGGTATTTCACCCTGATTACCCCTGCCAGCGGCCGTTTTTAGGGATTACCCTGATTTTGTAAGGCTATTTTACTTCTGACCCTTAGTAAAATAGTGTAAGGGTTGTACTACCCCGCTGTAGTAAGGGGCCTCCCACTTTTACCCCTGCCCAGTCAGCGTGCGACGTAAAAGACCCTGTAACAGAAAACTGCAAGGGTCGCAGATTCGACAGCTGTTGAATCTGCGGTATCGGCGAATACCGTCCAGGCAGTCCCGCCCACCGACAGTCGAACCCACCTCGCTGGCACTGCCAGCGCTCTCGCGTGGGCACCTACAGCTCTAGGCGCGGCAACAATCCTGCCACCACAGCAGTCCTTGCACCGTCGACACTAATACAGCTATGCACGGCGGCAGCATTTCGTTCCCTTGCTCGCGTCGCCAAGCACCTGCACAGAAACTGCGGACATTCACGCGGACCGCGTGGTCCTTGAATAGCGCGGTGGGGTTTCGTCCTCAGCAGGGTTCCAACCCATCTTCCCTTCTCCCCTCCCTTTCATCTCCTCGTCGCTGGTTGCACAAAAATACTCACGACAGCTGTTGATTCCTTATTCTCCTCCACACCTGTTTCACACCCCGCCATGTCAATCTTGATGGAAGACGAGGACAGCGACGAGGCGCCAGAGGCCTGTCGCAATGGCCTTAGCGTCCTCGGCGTCTTCCCTCTCGCCCCACCAGCCGTAGCCCCATCGTTTTGTCACTCGTTTAGTCCCATTCCGCCATCGCGGTCGCTTAGTCCAACCGCTCGTCAGTCGCCAGCTAGCACTAAAACTGCCGACTCGCCTACAACTGCCTCTCCTGCTCCACAGTCTACATCCGTTGGGGAGCGCGTGCTCCCCGACGGCAGCGAGGGATGCTCCAACCCCTCGGACTCCGCGCCATCCGAGCGCATCTCTGGGCCTACGAAGCGCAAGAGGTCGGGTACCTGGTTGCAGCAATTTCTCTGGGGAGCCCCCCCTCCCCGTCGTCCAGTCACCCCCCCCCCCCACAAGGTCAAGTTGAGGCCAAGAAGTTCGCCCCGATACCACCATTCCGACGAATGCAGCATACGCGAAATATGGTGTCATCAAGCAGCGCTTCGACAACGACTGGTCGAAGCGCTTCCCCTGGCTCCGCCTGAACCGAATGAAGAACGGCAGACCGGCACTCAAGTGCGCCGTGTGCTTCAAGCATGCCAACCCAATGGCCAACACAAACTAAGCCACGGCAAGCACCTCATCCTCTTCGCGACTTTCTTCAAGGGGAACTCGGTCGTCACCGAATTCATCACTCTCCTGAGCGTCGACCGCACGGATGCTGCTTCCTTGACAACGTCTCCTGCACTACATCCAATGAATTGGCCTCGACCTTCATAAGATTGTCGGAATCTCAACTTATGGCACCCCTTGGTCATGTCTGGCGCGCAAAACGGAGTGGTGGTGCGTATGCAGGCTCGGATCGAGCATCTTGTGTCTACACATTGCATCGCTTACCGGTACGTTCTCGATTGCATCTTCTTTGACGGTTGACCCTTTGGTGACGCATGCATCTGCCCTTTTTCTAATTGCACTCTCTTATTCATTATTGTTTACAGTATGTCCATGCAGTGAGGCACTGGCGGCGAAGGACGTCGCGGCCGACTGCCCAGAGCTCGCCAGGATCGACCTTGTCATACGGGTGCTGGCCGATATTCTGGGGCGCAGCAACGTATGGCACGGCCGGTTCATGAATCTGCAACTGATCTTCTGCCTCACGTCCCTGGAGCATCTGGGGTTTCATCTCATTCGCTGGAGCATCTTCTACGCGAACATGGGCGTGAGCTGTACGAAGTGGTGACGTCTTTCAAGTTCAACTTCTTGGTGCGGTTCTTGGCGGACGTCTTGACCGAGCTCAACCACCTCAACACCAAGTTCCAGCAGCGGCAGGTATGCTTTTACTTGCAGCACCAAAATAGATGCTCGGTCTGATGCTAATCGGATTGCTCCGGGCTTTAGGTTACCGCCTTGTACTAATGCACACATGGTTGCCCTCCCCTGCATGTGGATGTCACTCTGGTCGCGCACCACGTGGACCAGACCAAGCGGCGGATCGCGGCTCGTTACATCAACATGGGGCCTGGCCACATCTTTGGCCATAGCGAGAAGATGCACCTGCCTGCGTTCATTGCATTGCATGCCTCACCGGAGAAGCGGAAGATGCGGGCGGAAGGGGTGGATGGCGACGGCAAGCCTGTGAGCTTTGAGTTCACTCTGCATGAGCGACCTCTGCCTGGACATGCGACCGATGGTGACGTCACCGCCTGCTATGAGGTGTCTGTGAAGTACGTCAGCGCGGTGAACACGCATCTCGATCGCCGCCTACACGACCTGAAGAACCTGGAAGGGACCAAGCTCTTTCTGGACAGCACATACCTTCAAGACGTGCCATGCCGCCTTCAAGAAGTGGTTGAAGCAGTTGAACGGGCTCTTCCGCGGCAAGCTTCCTGGTACGTGGTGGCCGAATGTGTTGTACATGGCCATGTTAATGTTGTACCCGATCCGGAGACTTTTGTGCTGTAGGATGTGCATGCCGCCCACCGATGAATGCTTATTCGGGGCTCACACTCGGGCAAGCTTCCTGCCTTCCCTCCTCCATCTCCCTGCCCCCCTTCCCAAACCCGACCCCACCTCCCAGGCTTCGACTACAACCCTGCCGTGGGGGAGCTCTGGATGTTCACCTCAACCATGCATTCTCAGCACCACCTAGAAGATTTCCACCAAGCCCTCAGCAACACACTGCGAGACGACGACTGGAGTCGGTCGTACCCCAACATCATGAGGTTGTGGCAGGCGATGGCTGTTTTTCCTCTAAGCACGATGGAGTGTGAGAGGGGGTTCTCTAAGCAGAAGCTGATCAAGACGTGGGCGTGCGGCAGCATTGGAGATATCAGCCTTGGGCACTTGATGCGCTGCTCCCTCCTAGACTACGACGTCGACTGGTTCGATGTAGTTGTGTTTTTCCGTAGTGACAAGATCCGCCCGCCCATTCGGGATTTCACTGGCACAGTTCAGAGCACGCAGCAGTTCGTGGAGTCGGCCCGAGATTCAGAGGGGCCTGAAGGAGTTGCGGATTGAACAGATGTGGTATGTAGTTGTGATTTGTGAGCTGCATGACTTGGAGTAGTGGTAGCATTTGTAGGAATAATAGTAGCACGACTTGGTAGAAGCTGTGAGTCCAAGTTGTACGAGTTGTGTAGATATTTATAACTAGTTCATGTAGGAATATGGTACTGTTTCTAGATGTAACTAGATTTGAGACTAATTGTGAACATGAACAGCTCGGTTCTTAGCAGACATGGTATCTTGCAAATCACCCTTCCTGCATCAGTGTACTTTTTCTTTCCAGACAAAACACCCTAATTTTGTCAGGGTGCTGCTAAAAATGCCCTAGGAGCAAGGGTAAAAAAACCCCACTACCCTGATTCCTAAGGGTGCCTCAAAATCAATCCCTGGCCCTGATAACCGTTTGACGGGAAACAACTAGAGCTACATTTTGATGTCCTCAAATATTCTTCCCATAAAATCCTTAATATAAGCGCCCATGTGCTTATATCTGGGGGATTACGGCACATTACAACTTCAAATAATTTCTGGATACTACAATATGGGGACATTCAAGGCACCGCACGCACAGGTTGGGGCGTGTTCTCATAGCCCGTCAGACTCGCAGCCCGACCCAATCGCGTTTGCAACTGACCGGTGGCACCGCATTGTACCACATGTCTGACGGAGGCTGTGTGGGGACCTAGCGGCACGGCCTAAGATGCCTTGACAGCTCAACCTCCATGCTATGGCACACCTCCCACACTAAGTGTTATTATTGCCAGCACTCACCACCCCTTGCCCGTCACGCCCCCTGCCAACCTCATATTCCTCCCCTCCGGCAACAACCATGAATGGGCGGGCGGCAGAAGACACGACTCTGAACAGGCGGCAAAAGAAACGATTAACCATCCTACTACCGACTCTCAGAAAAATGCAATGAACTAGAATGAGTGATACACGGTGGTTTTTTCCTATGGAGTTGTACTCTCTATGAGCATGCACCTATCTAGCCTAAAACATATACAAATACATGTTGACACACCCCCTAGGCTAGACAAGGGGCAACGACTAGCAAGAGACACGTAGCTCAGGCTGGCACTACTAGTCCAACCTCTGAGGCAAGGGTCTGAAGACCAGGCAGCAAGGGTACAAACGAAACAAGAGTAACCCAGGGCAACACTACTAGTCCAGCCACTGGAACAGGAGCCACAAGGCCAGTCAAGGTAATATAAGACATAGTACACAATCAAGGTCCTAGCAAGTGAGAAGATACAGGAACTAGACCAAGCACAGTGCCGCTGATGATCTTTAGGCGCAAGTGCCTTTGTAAAGATATAAGTTGTATTGGCACCTGAGGCCAAGTGAACTAAGCGGGCCTAGCGGGGCTGCTGTAGCTCGCCGAGGAGGAAGTACCCCAGCTGGATGTGCTTCGCTCTGCCCTCCAGTCAAGGCTCCTGACATAGGAGGATCATGGCCCTATTTTCAGCGTATAGGACCGGAGCAGAGCTAGGCCGCTCACCTAAGTCTATGAGCAAAAAGGTCAGCCAGCGGAGCTCCAGTACCGCCATGGCACCAGCGTAGAACACAGCCTCACAGTTAGACTGGGCAACAGACGACGAATGAGAGGACCTCCACAAGATGGCGCCTGCACCAAGGCTACAGTAGTAGCCCACGAGCGCCCTCAGCATCGTCTGCCCACGAAGCGTCATGTGCCCTATAAGGACCACTGGCCTGCGTCCTCCTAGCACTAGCCCCATGTTCGATGTACTTGTAGCATAAAACCCTCTTAGCGGCCAAACAGTGCTGTGGTCGGTGTCTGACTGTGGCCACAAAGCGAGCCACGATGCTGAGAGGGTATGCGAGATCTGGACGAGTGCAAGTCATCAGGTATATGAGGCAACCCACCAGCTCTGCGTAAGGACCACTAGGCTCTACAGACTCCTCAGGGACTGGAGCCAAGAGCCTGTGATCTACTGGCAGATGTGTGGGCTGTGCAGAGGAGAATTGAAGACCGAACCTCTGAAGAACCTGGTGCACCAAGTGTTACTGTGTAAGAGTGATGGTGCCCGCTGCTCTGTCCCTAGAGATCTGCAGGCCAAGGTAGTGGTGCACCTCTCCTAGGTCAGTGCACGTGTGTCTCCTTAGCAGCTCAGCCTTCATGGAGGCCAGTGCGTCTCTGTCTGCAGTAGCGAAGACAAGGTCGTCCACTTAGATAAGGATGTAGAACGGGGTTTGGCCAGAACTTACAAAGAGCGAGGGGTCTGCAGATAACGGGAAGAATTACACTCAGCTAACGTAGCACGCAGCTTGTTGTGCCACTCATGGGGCGTCGGCCACAGGCCGTAAACCGTGCGCCGGAGGAGCGACTCGGAACCAGGGACGAAGGTGCCGGTGAAACCAGGTGGACGGCGCAGGTAGACCTGTTCGTGCAGACTGCCCTGGAGAAATGCTGTGGAGAAGTCGAGGGAGTGGAGCTCGTAGCCACGTTGTGCTGTTACGTGTAGGAGCGCCCGAAGAGTGGTCAACTTCGGGCTCGGGGCGAAGGTCTAAAAGAAGTCAACACCCTCGCGCTGACTGAAGCCTCTAGCAACAGAGAGTGCCTTTAACACCGGCGGCTCTCCAGGAGGGCGCTTCACATTGAAGAGACACCGGCCATCGACTACGTTCACCCCAGGTGGGGGAACTGCGTCGACGTAGGTGCCGGTGGATCTCCAAGATGCCATCTCCGCATCCATGGCAGCTATCCACTGAGAGACCCAGGGTCCCGAGGTCGCCTCAGCATAAGTGCGAGGGGTCGAGATGTCAAGGGCGTCTAGGTCACCCTCAGGGACTAGCAGCATGGAGCAGAGATTAGGAACGGCCTCGGACAGGAAAGCGAGCTCGTACTGCCTGTCCTCTAGAACGTCAAGGCCAAGGGTAGGTGCACACCCGACGGACGGAGGACGGGCAGGGTAAGAAACCAGAGCGCTGGCGTAGTCAAGGCAGTGGGTAGAGGCAAAGTATGTGACGGCAGCGACAAGATCGTGAAGACTGGAGACAGGAAGGGACGGGTCGGTAACAAGAGAAGCGAGAACACGAGGGACAAGCGGACTAGTGCTACAGAAGAAATCAGAGAGAGGAGGACGGGAAACAACACACGACGGCTGAGGAGGCGACGGTAGAAGGGGAGCACGAGACGCGTGAGAAAGGAGCAACATAGGGTAGGAGCGCTGAACAGGAGAGACAGGACGAGCACGAGAAGCACGATGAGACCACCAGTGGGAGGGGGGGGTCGGGTCAGGAGACAAGGGAGGAGACATAGCAAGAGAACGAGGGGGAAAACGATTTGGGGAGGAGTCCAGAGGAGGAAACACAGGGCCGTAGACAGGGGGGGGAGGTGGCAGCGGGGGAGGCGCAGGCGGGTGGTTAGGAAAAGGAAGATCGAGGAGGCGAAGGGCGGACACCGGCGGCAACTGCTGCTGCTGCTGCTCCACGCTGGCACCAGAACCTCCAGCCGCACCCGTGCCACCCACAGAACCACCGGGACAAGCCACGACAGTACCCGCAAGACGAGCACACCCAGTTCCAGCACCCTCCTCAACGCCCAAACCCCCTTATCTCTCGAACCCCAACGGCAGCGGCGGCGATGGCGGCTGCTGCTGCAGCGGCGGCGGTGACAACTGTTGCGGCAACGACGGTGACTGCGACTGCGAAAAAGGAGGAGCAACCGGGGCGGAGACATGCGGAGAACTCAGACCTGCAGGGCCCCCAAAGTCCGCCGACTCTTCTACAGGGACGACCGATGGGAGGGGAGTGACGTGAGACACACCAAACGGTGCAGGACGGGGACGAAGAGGAGCAGGTGCTATTGGTGGAGTGGGGACCACGAACAGAGGGGGGGCAACCAGGAGAACTCGGTGAGGAAAGCGGGTGTAGAAGGAGACAGACTCGCCAAAAGTGAGGTCGCGAGAGTGAAAGAAACGGTGAGACGGCGGGTGGTAAAAGTGCCAGTCAGACGCATCTAGGGGGAAGCCAAGGAAGACATAGGGGACAGTGTGGGCCGTGAGCTTGTCCGTGCCAGAGGCACAAACGTGAGCGAGGCGGCAATAGACGTGGAACGCAGACGCTTCACCAGGGGACCCAATCCAGAGGAGGGTCGGCGAAGCTTGCGGCCGCAGGGAGTGTGGTGACAGGTTTAGCTGTTGAGCGGCGTAGCGAACAGCGAACGGCCACAGAAAATGGGGTGCACCGGCATGGGTCATGGAGGTACAAGCCACCTCCACGATCAAACCGATGCATCGCTCAGCGAACTCATTCTAGTGTGGGGAGTCCGGCAGGGTGTACGACTGGGTGATGCCCTCCGCACGACAGAACTGGCCAAGCCGACCGGAGGTGAACTCGCTGCCACAGTCGGAGTGCAGACGCAGTATAGGGAGGCAGCGGTGGACTCGCGCACCTACGACCCACGAGATAAGAACGTCACGCACGTCGACCTTCCGATCCAAGGGAAACACCATGGTGTAGCGCATCTAGTCGACGACGAGCACCAGAAAGTAGTGCTCTCGACGCGGCCCAGAGACGGGGGATGGGCCCTAGACGTCCAGGTGCAGGGTCTGGAGTGGCGCAGTGGTAGGGGGAAGCGAGGAGGAGTGAGGAGCATGTCGCAGCTGGCCCTCGACGCAGGGCGTGCACAGCAGCGTAGGCGAGGGAAGGAGGGCATGAAGTGACGCAGACATGGGAGTGCGGGGTGACCCAGGCAGTGGTGCCACAGCAGCGACGGGTGCGTGAGCGACCGGCACGAACAAGCCGCAGTGACCTGGGAGGGCGCAACCACCTGAGGGGACACTCCCATCGGGGGGGGCGCGATGTATAGAGTGAATAGGCCAGACACCGGGTCCCCGGGGAACGTGGTGAGATGGGCACCAGTGGCGGCCTTGGTGCAGACTGCGTACCGCTCGTGTCCAGGAAACATAGTGGTGACGCCGAGGTTCTGAAGACAGCCGACACGAACTAGGTTCCTAGAGAACGAGGGGATGTGCAAGCCTATAAGGGAGCCCGAGGGAACTGCCAGATAGAGAAGGGTAGTGGAGTTAGGTGAAATTACCGGGCCTGAGGAGGGATCAGCAAGTGAAACAGCGGAAGGGACGGCAAGCGGCGTGAGTGCAGTGTGGTCGCGAATGAAGCAGGCGGACGCACACAAGTCTAGCATGAAAGAGAGCGCGGCAATGGCGTCCGAAGGCAGAAGAGCTAGAGTGGAGACGAGGCCAAACAAGGCAGGTGATCCGACGCCTGACGCAGTAGGGGAACCTAGGCTACACAGAGTGGACACACCTATACTAGGCAACACAGGGTAATAGGGTCCAGTCACACTAGAGTCAGCAGTATACATGACATACATAGCAGTCCTAATCTGATCCATATCCAGCTCAAAGACATACACACGACGACGCACCAGGCTGTACCAGTTGGGGGGTCCGACGCGGGGCCGAAGCGGAGACGGAAGAGGTCATCCAGGTGGCGGTAGCAGCGGGCGGCGGTGTGACCGGGACGGTCGCAGACGGTGCCGCGGTGGGGGCCGGACTGAAGCTGGTACTGGCAGGTGACCACACTGGAGCTGCCACCCGACTCCGAGCTGTGAGGCCCACCACCACAACCACCACCACCAGTGCCGCCGGGCCACCACGGCGGCGGGGGTCCCCACGGCGATTGCTTCTACTGCTGCGACTGCAGCTGCTGCACCGAAGCATCAGCCCCGGTCCCCTTGTTTGCACAACTATTCCCTCCACCACCGCCGCCACCTCCGCCACCCCCACCACCCCTCCCGCCACCACGCCCCCCAGGGTCCGACTTCCCCTACCCTAACGAGCCTGCGCTGAGGCCATCGCAGCGGTCTCAGGAGCAAGGGCCGTCTCAGCAACAATGGTAGAGACGTTAGAGTAAGTGCACTGGGATGGAGCACAACCCTGGAAGATAGGGATCGCTGCAGTACTGCTAGACTGAGCGAGAGTGTGCTGTCGGGTCTCTATCACGGACAGGGCGGTGACAAAGGAGGACGGGTGAGGTCACCTGGGTGCTGACTAAGGAAGTGGTCGCGGGTAAGGTGGTTAAGAAGGCGCGTGGCAATGAGGTAAAGGGTAGCGCAGAGGGGAGGAGGGAATGCAATGAGCCGGGCCTCAGTGCTAGCAGTGCGGTAACTAGTCTCAAGTGCGCGCAGATGAGTGGCAAGGTTAGCAACAATGGGGAACGGCGCAAGATCCGGGAACACCATGGGGAGGATCAGACGGCTGGCTGAGGCGGAGGAGGGAGTGGAATATCATGCGATGACTGCATCTAAATATTCCTTCGCATTCGCTATAGCAGTAAAGCGGGGACGCTCAGACAGGGGGAGGGCGTATCTAATAGCTAGCTGCGCTACCGCGTCGCGCGATTCCCAGACAACGCGGACAAGCTCAGCAGCGGCAAAGGCCTCACGCTCAACAGACGTGGGAGCGTCAGGGAGGGCAGCAGGCGCGGCGGGGCAGGGAAGCTTACCGTCGACATGAACGGCCAGGGAGTAGCCGTCCTAGCGCTGACCTGTAAGCTGACGGCGGAGGTCAACGAGCCACGCTGTCACAGGATCGAATGTGTCGAGGAAAAGTTGCACTATCGATTGATACAAGGCGCTTTTATACTTCCAAAGTACATCAGGTAACCAGATTTATCCTATCCAAAGGGAATAGACCCTTCTAGAAATAGAATCACCATGCGTATAGCCACGCGAGGCTATTGGCTTTAAGGGATAACGCCATGATTACGCTAGATATAGCGCGCCAGTATATCCTGAGCCTGGTCGGTGATATAATCAAAATAACAGGATAAACCAAAGGATAATGGAGTGGGAGAAAATAGGAAACCAAATGAGATAAGAGAAAAAGAGGAATGAAATAGAAAGGAGATATAGAAAGGGAAATTGGTATAACGGGGTCGTACTCTCACACTTCCCCCCCTCAAATCTGGGTGGTAGAAGTAACACCCTGCTTGACAAGGTAGTCGCAAAGAGGACGGCGAGCGTTACCCATCTCGGAGTCAGGAGCCCAAGTGTCCTCAGAAGGATCATAACCCTTCCAACGAATGAGAAGCTCCACGGTGCCATTCTGACGACGGCGGTGTGCGAGCACGGACTCGACCTCGTACTCGGGTTCATCGTGGACGAGGACGGGCGGCGGCGGCGGGGGTTGGCATCTGGTGAAGACTGTGTTAGGGTCTCGATAGGGCTTCAGAAGTTGGACATGGAAGGCGTTGTGAATCCACCTGGTAGTTGGTAGGCGTAAGCGGAAGGTAACAGGGGTGACTTGTGCTTCAACGAGAAAGGGCCCGCAAAAGCAAGGTCGCAGTTTGGATGGAAGATGTCTGATGTTGATATTGAGGGTGTCAAGTAGGACTTGGTCTCCCACGGTGATGGTGTGGTCAGTGCGGTGGCGATCGGCCTGGCGCTTCTGTTGCTGCTGAATGTCGAGAAGGCGCTTGTGGGTCCGATCCCAAAGGTGATGCATGGTTGTGATGAAGTTGTGTGCGGGTTGGACAGTAGCTGATGCTGTTGGTTTTTGTGGCGTGAGTGGGTGGCGTCCGTAGTAGAGGAAGAACGGCGTCTGTCTAGTAGCGGCGTAAGTGGCATTGTTGTAGGCAAACTCCAGGACGGGCAGATGCAAGTCCCATTTAGAGACTTCATCTTTCCAAGCTGCGCGGAGGAGTTGCTCCACAATTTGGTTGAGGCGCTCGATCTGTCCATCTGTCTGCCGATGGTAGGCGGATGACATGGTGAGTTTCGTCCCGAGCAGAGACATTAGTTCCTTCCAGAACATGCTGGTGAACTTGGGGTCTCGGTCGGAGATGAGTGTGGTTGGAATGCCATGTTGGGAGACGATGTAGCGAACTGATATTTGTGCTGTCGTGTGTGTCACGATGAAGTGTCCCATTTTGGAGAATTTGTCAATGACGACGAGGATTGCTTCGTAACCGCTAGTGGTAGTTGGAAACCCGGTGATGAAATCCAGGCTAACCACTTGCCATGGCTGTTCTGGGACAGGAAGAGGCTATAGCAGACCTGCCTTTTTCTGCTTGCAGCTCTTCATCCGTTGACAAGTTGCACACGAGGTGACTAATTGTTGGACGTCGGCTGCCATGTGGGGCCAGTAGTAGTGTTTTGCAATACCGGTGAGCGTCTTGTTGCTACTGAAGTGTCCCGCGTATAGGACATCGCGGTATTCTTCGAGTAGTAACTGGCGCAAAGGAGGGTAATTGGGTACCCAGATCTTTGTTGATCCCTTCCGGTATGCGATGTCACTGTCCCACTGTAGCAGGTGTCGTTTTGCTGCGAAAGGAATTTCGGGGTCGATGGCATACCCATGTGTGAAGAGTCCCTTGAGAAGTGGATTCATCCCTTCGACCTGGATTGCGGCAACGTGTGCAGACCGACTGAGAGCGTCTGCTTTGTTTGTTTTTGTGGCCGGGCTTGTACACGATGTCATAGTGGAAGTGCATCTCGAGGAATCAATCCACCGAACAAGCCGCCTGGAAAGGGTTGGTTGTGTCTTCAAATATTTCATGCTGCAGTGGTCGGTGTCGACGGTTATTTTTCGTCCTTCGAGATAACATCTCCACGTTTTGAAGGCGATGATAATAGCGAGGGCCTATTTGTCGTGTATCGGGTAGTTGAGTTCTGCCCCGTGTAGTTTCTTGCTGAGATAGGCGATTGGTTGCAGTCCATTCCCCTGGTCTTGCATCAAGACTGCTCCCACTGCCTGGTCACTGGCGTCAGCTTCGATGACGTAGTTGCGTTCGGGGTCTGGCAAGATGAGTACAGGCGCGGACGTGAGTGCTTGTTTCAGCTGCTCCATGGCTTCCTGATGTTTAAGTTCCCACTTATAGGGCGTTTTCTTCTTCAACAGATTCGTGATGTTTTGGTGTTGCGATTTTTGCGTATTGTGGCACGAACATGTTGTAGTAGTTAGCGAAGCCTAGGAACTGCTGCAACTCCTCCATGTTCTTGGGTGTCTTCCACGTACGTACGGCTTCGGTTTTCTTGGGGTCGATGTGAACTCCTCGAGTGCTCACCATGTGTCCTAGGAATTGGACTTTCTCGAGGGCAAATTCGCTCTTGGATAACTTGTCGTAAAATCGTTCTCGTCGGAGAATGTCGAAGACGCGTCGTAGGTGTTGGACGTGCTGCTGCATGTGGCGCGAGTAGATGAGAATGTCGTCCAGGTACACCACCACGCATTCGTCCAAGAGTGGGCATAGAATATGGTTCATTTCGGCTTGGAACGTTTCTGGTGCGTTGGTGAGTCCGAATGGCATTACCAGATACTCGTCAGACCCGTATCGAGTTCGGAAGGCAGTTTTGTGGATGGAATTGTCCGCCATTCGTATCTGCCAATAACCGGACCGCAGATCCAGATTGGAAAATACCGTGGCTCCCCTAAGCAGGTCAAGCAGGTCATCGATTCGTGGGATTGGGTATTTGTTCTTGATGGTCTGCTTGTTGAGAGCTCGGTAATCGATGCACATGCGCAGGCTTCCGTCCGGTTTCGGTGTGAAGAGTACGGGGGCACAGTATGGCGAAGTGGATGGTCGGATGAGTCCTTTTGCAAGGAGATACTCGATCTGTTTCTTCATGTCGGCTAGCTCTATGTGGCTGAGCCGATATGGTGCTCGGAAGGCCAGCTTCGAACCTGGTTCTTCCACGATCTCGTGTTGGTGCGTTCGGTAGGGCGGCAGCTCGTTCGGAAGGTCGTCGGGAAGAATGTCTTGGAACTCCTTAAGTAATTCCTTGATTTTTTGTGGAGGTTCCGAGGTTTTCTTCCCGTCGTTTTCCACCTTTGTTGCTATCGCCAGGAACCCGGTGTCGGTTCGCTTTACGTCCTTCTTGAATTTTGCGAGTGTCTCCACTGGGATATCTCTTGTATCGTCCCAGCTGGGTAGCTGGACTCTCCTCCCATTGTTATAGATGCTTGCGGTACGATTTACCCAGTTGATCTCGGGGTTGAATCGTTTTAGGAAGTCTCGCCCGAAGATCAAGTCAAGCCCTTTTATGTTGGTGATAGGGAGTGCAGGTCTCCAGCGCAGTGGTCCAATTTGTAGGTGTAACACTGCTTCGCCGTGTACCGGTAACTTGTTGCCGTCCACCATCGTTGCAGAGAATACCGAAGGCTTGTACTCTTCCCAAAGTCGGTCGATTACTGCCTTGTCGTAGACGGTGTGCGATGCTCCGTTGTCCACGAGTGATTGGAGGTGTCGTCCTTTGCAGATGACCTCGAGCACGAGGGGCGGGCGTTGCTCGGAGTACCCAAAGATGGTTTCATTAATAGGATCATAGGGTACATCCCAATATTCCGTACACACCTTTTTCTTGCTATCTACTCGTGGGTTAACAGCTGGCCGAGGCTGCTTGGAGGAAGTCTCTCCCTCAGGACCCTGAGCTTTCTTGACTGTCGTTGATGCCGAATTCGCTGAGCTGGATGCATCTGGAGGAGTTCGGGGTTTTTGCAGCTTCTTGTAGACCCCCAGCTTCCTCTTGCGCTGCTTCAGCTCCACTGACGTCTTCCCTTGGGAACGGGTAGTCGCTGTGGGCTGGTTTCGAGAGAGGACGTTGACTCCGTGGAAAGGTCGGCTTCTTTCCACACTCCTTCATTTTGTCCCCAAGTTTTCCGGTACCTATACGATCTCCAAAAAATTCTGCTTCTTTTGGAGTCCCTCCCGAAATTTCTCCAAGGTTATGGCCCCTCGAGAATTATATGTTTTCATTAAAGCATCTTTAACGAGACCTTATAATTTCTTGGGTCGTAAAGGAGTTTCCCCGTCTTGGCAGAGTCCTTTTTTGCGGAGTTCGATTTTTTCTCGGCAATTTTCTCTGGCGAAGACTAGTCGTGGGGTGGAGATTTTCCCCCATCATTTCCTCCAGCTTGCGTCGAATCAGTTTCGTTGAAGTCGATTTTCCCGGAATCCCGCGGCCGCTTTCGGATCTTTTCTTTTTCGCCAGCTAGATCCGCAATCACTGGCGAATTCCGTTTTTTGTCTTCTGATTGGCCGAAGAATTTCCGCCACTGTTGCGTGCCCGATACTCTGCGCGTGCGGTTTTCATTTTCTGAAGCTCCGATACTCCGAGCTCCATCCGACGGCTGCAAAGTAGATCTCCATGCCGGCGATCCATCTGCGGGCGTCAAAATTTCGATCGCTCGAATCGAACGGCTCAGGTGGGCGCGGTTTCGGAGCCTCGAGAAACTGTTGCGACTGCTGCGTCGTCGTCGTTGTCGCGTCATGCTGCGCGCCGGCGAGTCGAGTTACTCTCACACACGCTTCGAAGTGGATCGCCCGACCCTCCACGTCCAGGCGGAGCACAGCGTCCGCCATCACCACCGCCGCAGCAGCTGACAACGGCACTGCGTTACGATGGCCCGGCGACACGATGACACGGCGGCACGACGACACGGCGGAACGGCGACATGGCGGCACGGCGGCACGTCAACACAGCGACACGGCGATATAGCGGTACTGCGGCACGACATGATGGCAGCACGTTGGCACAGCGTCACAGCGGCACGTCAACACGACGGCACGGCGACATGGTGGGAAAAGGGGCCGGCGCGAATTGGGGCCGGCTCGAACGGGAACCGGTGTGAGCAGGAGCTACTACGGACTAGCGGGGCCGGCGTGGAGGGACTAGGCCGGCGCGAACTAGCGGGGCCGGCGTGAAGTGGCGGGGCCGGCACGGGCTAGCAGGGCCGACGCGGACTAGTGGGGCCAGCGCGAAGTGACGGGGCCGGCGCGAAGGGATGGGGCCGGCACGAACTAGCGGGGTCGGCGCGAACTGACGGGGCCGGCGCGAACTGGCAGGGCCGGCGCGAAGTGAGGGGGCCAGCGCGAAGCGATGGGGCCGGCGCGAACTAGCGGGGCCGGCGCGAACGGACGGGGCCGGCGCGAACTAGCGGGGCCGGCGCGAACTAGCAGGGCCGGCACCAACTGACGGGGCCGGCGCGAACTAGCGGGGCCGGCGCGAACTGACGGGGCCGGCGCGAACTAGCGGGGTCGGCGCGAAGTGACGGGGCCAGCGCGAACTCGCGGGGCCAGCGCGAACTAGCGGGGCCAGCGCAAACTACCGTATTCCCCCGTATATAACACCCTAGGATATTGTCAAAATTTCATAAAACAAACGTATGGGTGTTAATAGTAGGCTGGAAAAATATAACACCCATGTCTTATGTAAGATGCAAAATGAATTTGGGTTGTAACATGCACTCTGAGGCCAAAACTTCACCGAGCATCTGCTAACGAGGAAGCTACTACAGAGATTGCGTACTCTGACAGGGTCAGTTTGGTGCCTCTGAAAACGGTTGGAGATTGATGCTGCAGCAGTGCTAGGTGTCATTGACCAATCTCGTCTGAGTGCTGTGAACAGAGTCACGACCATTGCTGACGCGATCGAGGTGGTTCAACAGCAAGATGGACGGTTGAGATCCTCTCGACACTTTTTGTCTTTCGATTTCATGTTGCTTGCCACTTGTATTGATTCGTCTGCCCGTCTTTGCGCTGCGAATGACAGCTGACGCGATCTTAATCGTGTTCGTTTTTTTGCAGCTGAGCGAACCTTGGTAATGAAGGACCGAATACTATTTAAAGGCAAGAAAAACGTGCAGGGTGTTATGTAAAATGCAAACCCAGAAAAGCGGGTACTCTCAAAAATGCGCCATATCATAAGCTATCCCCCACATAAGCCACCCATGGGCTGACTATTTCGGTGGGTCTTATATACGGGGGATTACGGTAGCGGGGCCGTCGCGAACTGACGGGGCCAGCGCGAAGGGATGGGGCCGGCGCAAACTAGCGGGGCCGGCGCGAACCAGCAAGGCCGGCACGAACTAACGGGGCCGGCACGAAGTGACGGGGCCGGCGCGGACAGAGCTAGGGCGCGGGCGCGGCTAGGGCTAGGGCACGGCTAGGACACGGCTAAGACACGGGCTAGGGCTCTAGGGGCGGAAGTGTAAGCGGGGAGGGGGACCTAGCCTAGCGTGATACCATCTCATAATAATGCAATGAACTAGAATGAGTGATACATGGTGGTTTTGTCCTAAGGCGTTGTACACTCTATGAGCATGCACCTATCTAGCCTACAACATTTACAAATATATGTTGACACCGACCCCCTCCTGACCAGGCCTGTCGTTATTAGGGTATTTTACGCTGATTCCCTGATTTCACAGGGTATTTTTTTGGCCAACCCTTAATTTTCAGGGTTGGGCTTTTTTTAACCCTAACCTCTTCAGGGTTGTATGTCTGTGAACACTTAGAATTTCAGGGTTTGCATTATCCCAAAACTGAGTTTTCAGGGAGTAACGCGTACGAACCCTGAATGCGACATCCATGCGGACCCTGAGTTTTGCCGAAATGGCCCCCTTACGCGTGACGGGTCCCAGTCCATTGAATACGCCCAGCATGCGTCACGTGGAGAATCTGCACTTGGCAACATTCCCGCCGTGTACACGCTGTATATTGCCATCGCAGCAACATTTCCAGCCGTTAAATGTGGGATGGTGCACTCCGTCTTGCCGTAGTCTGGCATTCGTGACTCAGCACGCAGCAGACGAGGACAGAATATGCTGAGCGCTGCCTCTGTATGACATCACAGCGCCAATCATCCCTATGCAGACGATGCCAGCGCAGGTGCGTCCCGCCGTTGCGGTATCGCCATGGCGATGCGGGATCCTGGATGGGTTATGCACCGTCCATGAAAATCGAAATCTGGGGTTTCTTGGTCCACTTCCCATCTTCTTCATGAGCTTCTCCTCCAACCCAGTGTCCTCCTTTTCTTCACATCGCAGATACGAGATGCTCTACTCTTCTTTCTCATCCACTTTCGTCGCGACGATTTCTCGTTTCAATCATATCCGCCGCTACTAGCTATGGCGGATGTGGGAGAGTCTGATGAGTCTCCCGCTGCCGATGATGGTTGTGGACTAGGTAGGGACCCCCCCGTGGAGGTCTGTAGATCCGCTCTAGACATCTTGCGGTCTCCCACCACGGTCGTTTCACCATCACAACCCGTATCTACTCCCGCTCCCTATGTACCTCCGCCCGCTGTCGCTTCATCTAGCCGGGGCCTTTGGGTTCCAGCCTGCGAGATAGCCACGACCGTGCGTTACACGGTCGAGTGTGCTTCCACGATTTCATCTGGGAAAAAAGCACGCATCGGGAAGTACACCCAGAGCACGATAGTCCTCGGCGGGAAGCTACGTCGACCGTCACCGCCTCGCACGTCGCCTGAACCTCAGGCCCCTGCTATTCCAGAACCCGAGCCACCGAAGCTCTCGAAGAAAGAGCTCATCGAGCAGAAGTATCTCATTGCTGAGCACAAGTATAAGACCTGCTGGCTTCCATTTTTCCCTTGGCTTCTGCTAACGAAAACGAAAGACGGTTACCCTGCGTTGAAGTGCAGTGTGTGCAAGGCTTTCGGCAAAGAGACAACACCGTACTCCAACAGCCACGACGAGGCAGTGACCTGCAGACGCAAGCGATGCGGTTCCATGAACACACAACAGCCCACGAAGTAGCAGTCAAGCGTCAGATGGAGATCGCCGAAGACATCGCCAGCACCCAGAGGCGCATGGAGAATTACGCGCGGAGTGACATCGAGGGGAAACGCGTCATGAGGCTCCTACGCTGCGTTGAATTCCTGTGCAAGTGTGATGCACCCATCAGCATGTACCCAAGGCTACTCCGCTTCATGGCCGAGCAGGAGACCCGAGACATTCCGCTGCAGTCTTACGGAGTCTACCTGACACGGTAATGCACTGATTCCAAGTACAGCAAATCCTTTTCTTTTTAAATAGGTCTAACAAACACCCTGTTGCTACTTTTGCTACTACAGGTATGGCTTCTGTCAGCTCGTCTGCAGCTTGGCATCCTACCTGCAGCGCCGACAAATGCAACACATTCTCGCCTCACCCTACCTCGGCATCAGCTGCGACGAGAGCACTGACCGTACTCGCGGTAAACATCTGATTGTTTATCTAACCTTCTTGCGGGCGCATCGTGTTGTCACAGAGTTTTTTGCACTCTTGACCGTCGAAAAGTGCGACGCCGCGTCTCTCCTCGCCGTTCTTCTGGCTCACTTGCGAGCAACTGGCATCGACCTCTCCCGAATCATCGGCATGAGCACCGACGGCGCCTCTGTCATGGTCGGCCGAGACAACGGTCTCGTCGCCCGACTTCGCGAGCACATCCCCCATCTCGTCTCTTCGCACTGCATCGCGCACAGGTTTAACCGCTTGTCATTTTAGTCGCTTAGCTTTCCTATAAGTGCTTGACTAAAATTCATTTGTGTGCACCATGTAGGGAAGCCTTGGCGGTGAAGGACGCCGCAACTGCTTCTCCAGACTTCGACATGGTCGACCTTGTGATTCGGACTCTGGCCGATCTTCTGGGACGTTCTTGTGTCTGGAGTCAACGCGTCAAGTACCTGCAGCGGGCAATACACAACACCAACCTTGAAGTGCAAGGAATTCACACCGTGCGCTGGCTTTCAAGGGGTGAGGCTGTGCGGCGCCTCTGTAAGGTCCTTGGCGCCGCTATCATTCTCTTTCATGAGCATGGGCATGAGCTGTATGAAGTCGTGGGTGATCTTGTAGCGGATAGGTGTTCGGTGGGGGGGTCGAAGGCACGTGGCTTTCGGCTTTTTGGCGGTCTACGGGCGCGGAGGGAGCAAACGCGTATAGGTGCGGGGCATCGACAAAGATGGCAACCCAGTCACGCACACCTACACCATGCACGAGAAGCAGATCGACGGGCATGCCTTCCGCAGCAAGTACCCCGATTGCGAGCGGCTCTGCGCGCAGTTCGCGAAGGACACGATAAGCTTCCTGAAGACGAGGATGCTGGACCTGAACACTCTCGCCCCGACGAAGCTCTTCCGCGTGTCGAAGTGGCCCCGGACGAAGCAGCAGAGAGAGAAGAAGCTGAAGGAGTACCTACATGGCTGCAGTACCCTTTTCGACAACAGGCTGTCAGGGTTTTCCTTGCAAGCTGCGCAGAAGGAGCTGGTTACGTGGGCGCCATTGATGCTGAGCCACCATGCCGACGAGGGATTCCATCAAGGCCTGACGAACTACCTCGGCTCGACGGAGTCGACCTTGTGAGAGACTGCTGTTCGAAGGACGTCTGTTGCATGTTTTCTTGCCGGTTCTTAACTTCCCCTTGGAAGTTGTTGTTTATCGCTTGTTGACTAGTTGCACTAATGCAGTGGTCTTGTTCTTTCCCCAACCCTTTTGGCAGGCGATGGCCCCACATCATGCGCTTGTGGCAGGCGTGCGCTGTCCTGCCGCTTAGCACAGTGGAGTGTGAACGAGGCTTCTCGCGGCATAACGTCATCAAGTCATGGGTGCGGGGCTCGTTGTGCAATGCGCGCCTCAACGAGCTGATGGTCATTTCCCTGCTGTAGTATGAGATTGACTGGGACGAGGCCCTTGGGTGTTGGCGCGAGAAGCTGAGGCGCCCTGCTAAGTCTGTTCTGTTTGCCTCAGCGGAGAGGAAGCGCAAGGCCAAGGCGATTGAGGGGGCAGAAGAGAGGGTGGAGGAGGAGGCAGTCCCCGACTACATGGGGGATTGGGCAGAGGATGAGGGAGAGGAGGGGGTAGAGGGGGGAAAGGCTCCTCCTGAAGTGGAAGACAACCCGTTTCTGTCCGATGACGAGGCAGAGGACGAAGTGAACATGGATGGCCCAGAATTTTAGTTAAGTGTAGCTAGTGGTGTGGAATCTTGTGAGTCTAGACTAGATAGACGACTTAATTGAATTTGTAGACGGGCGTAGTGGTAGACTCTGGCTAGTAACTAGCTGTACAATCCTAACGCTCTTTTAAACGATTTTTAGCAAGTGCAATGCAACCCTGTTTGTGGCCTGGCAACCCTGGAGGTTTCAGGGTTACATGTTCCAAAACGCTGAGAAATCAGGGAAGCCAAAATTTCAACACAAGGCCCTCAGGGTAATTTTTTTTCCCCATTCGACAGCTCAGGGTGCTTTTTTTTGAAACGTCAGCCCTGCTCCTGACTCCCTCCTGACTCCTCCCTCAGCGCTGCTTCCCCTCAGTATATTTGCGGCAGGAACGTCTGGTCCGACACGGGCGGGCGCACGTAGAAGTCCTCCTGCAGGGGCGGCAGGGGCATGCTCTCGGGCTCGGTGAGGTCCTCATAGGGGATCAGGCTCAGCAGGTGCGCCAGCACGTTCAGCCGCGCCCGCTTCTTATCATCGGCCGGCACGACGGTCCAGGGCGCCTGCTTGATGTCGCAATACCCGAACATGACGTCCTTGGCGTACGAGTAGTCGGCCCACCGCGCGCGCGCCTCCAGGTCCATGGCGCTCAGCTTCCACCGCTTCTCTGGGCGCGCCAGGCGCTCCTTGAAGCGCCGCTCCTGCTCCTCCGCGCTCACCGAAACCCAGTACTTCACCAGGATGATCCCCGACCGCACCAGCATGCGCTCGAACTCGGGGCACGAGCGCAGGAATTCCCGGTACTCGTCGTCGGAGCAGAAGCCCATGACGTGCTCCACGCCCGCGCGGTTGTACCAGCTGCGGTCGAACAGCACCATCTCGCCCGCAGAAGGCAGGTGCGCGATGTAGCGCTGGAAGTACCACTGCGTGCGCTCGCGGTCCGAGGGCGTGCCGAGCGCCTTGATGCTGCAGACGCGCGGGTTGAGCGGCCCCGAGATGGCCTTGATGAGCCCGCCCTTGCCCGCTGCGTCGCGCCCCTCGAACAGCACCACCACGCGCAGCCCCTTCTGCCGGATCCACTCCTGCAGCTTCACCAACTCCAGCTGACGAGGAGGGGGGGGGGGATGGAAGTGGAGAAGAGGTGAGACGAGAATCGTCAAAGTTTTGGGCTTGGGGGCAGGGGAAGGGAGATTAGAATGCCTGTCGTACAATAAGTCCTTATTGGCCCTTTTCCTAGGCGCCTTGGTGCGAGCGAGTCACAAAGGTGGGGGGGAGATGGAGGAAGGAAGGTGGGAACGCGGCCACGGGACGCCACGGGACGCCACGGTGAGTACCCGGGGCTCTGGGGGGTGGACGGGAGTGCGCAAGTGTGCGGGCATACTTGGGTGGAAGGGCACGAGGGAGGTGCATTGGCTCGTATTCTCGGGCGTTAGATTCCGGGCGTTATGCGACGTCAAGTGGTCGTGCGGCACGCAAGTTGAACAGTATCAACGTGTTACTGTCCGAGCAGCCGTGCCAAGCCGCGCAGCTCACCAGATCGCGCACAATTCGTCTGAATGGTTGTTGGATGTTCGGTTCCTGGAACCCCACTCAACCGCTGACCGGCCTTCATCAAGCCAGTTCGCCCCTGCAAGCCCCTCGCGTCGTCTCACCTGCAGTCGCTCGAGCTCGTCGTCATAGTCGTAGTCCTTCTTCTTCCTCCCGCCGTCCCTCGCGGCCGCCATGGCGTGCGACGCCGAGTCGTCGGGGTAATGCCCTCGCCGCTCGACGCGGCCCTTCTCCGCCGCATTCGCGCTCCCTCCTTCCCTCCCGCCGTCAATCTTCGAGCTCCACTTAGCCTTATCGCCGCTCACCACACCGGCCATCGCGGCTCCATTCACCTCTCTCCTCCTGACGCTCTCCTTTTTCCCGCCGGTCTTCTTCGCGCCCTTCTTCTCCGAGTCGCTGAGGTCCAGGTCCACGTGGTGGTACACGCGAGGCGCCCAGTTAAGGTGCTGGTGGTGAACAGTGTCGCGCCCGCCGAGAGCCAATGAGAACTCGCGGCGCCTCGTCGCCTCCTTGGTGGCCCCTTCAGCTTTCTTCGCCGCGACGCGCGCTGACGAATCGCTCTTCCGCGCGACCGGCGCTCGGCATGGTGTTGCGCGGAGAGGCGGTTGCGCGTATGGGCGAGGCGTATGTATTTGGCGAGCTTGTTGTCTGAGTCGAGCCGCGGCCCACTCTGCGGACAGCGGGTTTACCGGCGCGGCTGCCGCTCGCGAGACAGCGGGTTGAAAGGCGTGCATGGCGGCGAGAACGAGCAGAGGCCGACGAGAGACGAGATGGGAGATGCAATCAAGAGCAGCTGGCGTGCACGGAGCGGTGCAGGCGGGTTGTTGGCGCGCGGCAGTGCTGGCGGGACGATGCCTCAACGTTAGCTTGTGTAGATTTCCCCTACCTCTATCGCTCCTATACCTATTGGTCCTTGTTTCCTAGGATGATTGCGCATTCATGTCCGGTGAGTACTACGATCGCAATGGGAGCGGCTGAACGAATTCCTGCTTGTGCGGCTGCTTCGTGGTCTAAACTCGGGTGAGTGCCGTAAAAAGTCGGGGAAGGGGTGATGGCAAGAATGGAGTTGGTGGTGAGGAAAAGCGGGAGAGGATTGGAGTGGGAGGGGAGGATGGCGAGGGGTGGTGGTGGGGGTTGGGGCAGGGGATTGATGGGAGGGAGGGGAGGGGGATGGTGGCAAGCGACACGACGGGACGTGCGGGATGGATCGATGGGGCAGGAGAGCACCAAGCCCACGCTGACAGCGGGGCAGGTGCGCGCCTCGGCTCGTTCAGTGGCAGGTCGCTCTGGGCACGCGCAGCTGGGGGCTTCAAATAAAAAACCTAGTCGAGTACACAAACTGCGAAGTTTCAGGCATCGGCAGCGGTGGCGAAGTGCACACGAAAGGAAAACCTGAGCAGCTTCCACGATCCGCGGCCGTTGAAAGAGGAGGTCGTTGGGAAATGGAATATTCTTTTTGTCGCCGATTCAGCAAAAGTGCAGCCACGTGGAAATTAAAACAAATCAAGCTGGGGCAAACGTTTCCGTCACACGTCATTGTTCTTTCATGAAGGCCTCGTTAAACGCAGGATGACTCCACCGATGTCTGATACCACGCACTACACGGCGTTTATATGGTCAAATAGCTACTCATGACTTGTCGAGCTAATGCATCTGCTCCACTATTTCTGTAGATAGCAACCAAGTTATGGGCTGCTTCTCTTTTCAATCCTGTGTCATAATCTTGCTGCATTACTTCCTGATCATTGACCCTTGTTCTGTGGATCCTCCCACCTTGTTGCTCAGCACTGGCATTGTGTGGGTGGCGAGTGGCGGCAAGTACTACCTTGTAGTGGTCAACAGCGAGGTGGAGGAGACCCACGTGGTGGAAAGCACGAGCCATGTTGAAGTGCACTTCCTGAAGCGTGCAATGGGGAAATCAGAACCAAACAATGCACAATGAAAAGGGGCCAACCAAAGCATAGGAGGCACCAAAGCACAAATAGAGCATGGACGGATCGTGGGGACAAACCAGGTCACCAATCAAAGACATTGATGTCATCTCATAATGAGACGACCTTCGTTTCGCCCTCACCTCTGTGTCTCCTGAGAGCTGGGCGTACTGGTGCAGCAAGGCAATGCCTTGCAGCACACACTGGCTTCGGTCACGAAGGCGCGAGCCCAGGGAGAGATTCAGAAGCGCCACTCCTGGCGGTGGAGGGGTTGTCAGGGGGTGCACGGGGCTTCATCACGAAAGGAGCGTGTGAGAGCGGCTGTAGTGCATGGCAGGGAGGGTGAAGGGCGAAGGCAGAGTGAGAAAGGGTGGAGGGCGAGAGCAACCGAAAACAAATCTTGGGGTTTGGGGGAAGAGGGGCCATGCCCATGAGCCCAAGCAGACCGTATTCCGTCCCAGACCTAAACCCAAGAAAACACCCCCCCCCTCCCCCCCCCACACCTCATTCCCCCCCACCCCCAACCTTCCACCAACCCCCTCCCCTCTTCATCCCACACTTGTGGCCCAAAGCCCCCCTAGTGCACCGCAGCAGAGGCAGATGAGCGGGTCGTTTGGCTGCAGGCGGTGTGCGCGCAGGTACTCCCGGCACGCGCCCTGCATCTGCCCGCTCAGCGCGTGGTGGTGCCCCGACACCAGCAGCGCCGCCACGCACATGGGGTGGCGCATGCGCATCTGCTGCAGGAACTTGGCGCGCCGGTCGTTGCTCTCGATGCCCCTGATGGGGGACAGGGGACCCACGGATGGACCCGGGGGAACCGCGGGAGCAGGATGGCTCAGGATGAGTGTTTAATCGGCATGTCGTAACATGGAACGATGCACGCATGGCAGGCGTGCATGTCCAATGGACCCATATTTTTCAGGGTCAACCATGGTGGAAAAAGCCTTGCGAGGCAGCGGTTCTGAAAAAGCTCGAGCTGAAGGGATGTTCAGGAAGTTTTGATGGAAAACCAGTGATGAACTAGTTTCGGCTTATACAAGCCTTCATCAGCATCTACTGAACATCGGAGCATTCGAGCTGTCTAAATAGTGAGAGTGCGACCCGAGAAAAACTCGAGGGTCCACACCATCCCCGAGAAGGGGTCACTGTAGCCTAGCAAAAAACTAGATAAGTGGAACAATTTTGAAACACTAAACTAGCATTTCCTTGCTGAGACTATAAAATATTTGATCTTCGTTGGCAGCTATAAAATCCTTGATCTTCTTTGGCAGCTTCCATGCAATCAATGCACGTCGGCTGGAGAATAAACCGTGTGTCAGGTTGTCCAGTTGTATTTTGAGTCGACTCAAAATTGGCCCGAGACCCGAGCGCTCCACAAGAGGATTGAGGAGGCACTTCAAGACCAAGGGGCCACGGTCAGGTTTGGTCCGCAGTTCAGCGGCACGCCGGAGAAGCTCGGTTCGGTCAGAAAATCTGACGCGCTTGAAGATCTCTAAAAGGAAACGTTCCGGGTAACCCCGGGCGCGAATTCGGGCGAAGAAAAGAGCTCGAGCAGCGAAAAAGTCAGCTCGGTTCGTAGAACGAAGAAGTGTTCGCCGTAACTCGCTGGAAATGAAGCTGACTTTGTAGCTCTTGGTGTGGTAGGACCGGAACGGAAGGTACATGTACCGGTTCATAGGCTTCTGGAAGAGTTTCACATCCAGTGAGCCTTCCTTCGAAAAACGACTCCCCTTGAAAAAGGTAATATCGAGGAAATCCACAGTCTCCTGAGATACAGTCCAGGTCAACTTGATGGAAGGATGCAGCTTTCCGAATTGGAGCCGAAATTCCTCGAACGAGGAGGGGGGCCCATCCCAGAGGACAAGGCCATCGTCAATATAACGAAGGTGAAGCGCTGGTAGCTGACTGAGTTTCAGATCTGGATAGCTCCGAAAAATACTGGACGGCGAAACATACTGCTGCGGAAGTTCCCATAGCAGTCCCTTGAATCTGGCGAAAAAATCAGCCATCGAAAGCCACGTAACTGTTAAACATTACCAAGCGGAGCAGGCGGACAACAAGAGGGGCAAGTGGGTGCCTGACACGCCGTAAGAAAAATCCACTGCGTCAATCCCGTCCCAAAGCGGGATCGAAGGATACAAAGCTTCCACGTCGTATGAAGCCAGCAGAAGATTAGGTGGTAGTCTCTTAGCCTCCAGCAGTAAGAGTAGACTTCGCGAATCCTTCAGGTACGTCGGCTGGCTGGTAACCAGAGGCCGTAAAACAGCGTCAAGCCAACGGGAAACATTAGAAGTGACCCAAGAGTGGGAAGCCGCAATCGGTCTTCCCGCAAGGACCTTCTTGTGCACCTTCGGAATAGTGTAAAAAGCCGGGACTTTCCAGCCTCAAGCCGGCGGCGCAAGAAAGGATTTCCACATTCTCGCCTTAAGCAGAGGTTGGAAATCTGCTTGAATGCCATGGAAGTCTTTCATAATTTCAGCATCCGGGACTTCTTGGTATTCACGATAAACTTGCCTGTCCAGGAGATGTTTAAAACACATGTCCTTGTAAAAATCCCTGTCCATGACAGCCAAACCCAGGTTCTTGTCGGCGGGTTTAAAAACCAAATTCTGGTTGGAAGCCAGTCGCCGAAGTGCTGGTAGCAGTTTAGAAGTTCTCCTGGTAAACTGTTGTTCTTAAACTGCTTTCATGGCTACATGCTTGAAGAGTGAGAGTGCTGTTTCCACCTCAGCAGATGCGAGGGGAGGATTCCAGTTCAGCCGTTTGGGAAGCTTGTAACCGGGAAACTCAGATTTCATCGCAGCACCGTTGAACAAAATAGTCGTACGAACGTCTTGAACGAGACCTTCTAACTCTTCAGCAAAAGAATTGACATGACGAGCAGCTGGAACCGGGATAAAGCTGAGACCCATGCCAAGGATTTCTGCTTCAGGACGAGAGAAATGAAGACGGGAGAAATTGTGGTAGTCCTTGTTGCTCACACGACACCGCACTTGACTCACGGTCTTTCGACCAAAAAGAATCAAGGCATAGCGGTGGACATCTGCGACTAAGGTTTCTTCCCCTTTCCGCGGCCGCTTCCGCCGTTTTTTGACTGGTGATTCTGCTTCGGCTTGTGCCTCTGCTTCCAGTCCTGCTTCTGCTTCGGATTATTATTCCTGCCAGTAGAAGAGTTAGAAGCCTTGGAAGACGGAGCAACATACGGATTCCTGGAAGAAGAGGCAATATTGGAACCTCCGAAGGAGTTTTCCTGAATCGGCTTCTTCCCCTTGTCAAGCGGACGGTTGGGCTTGTTAGCGGGTCCTTTAACAGGACGTTTGTTTGAAGTCACCGAGGAGTCGCCAGTCTTCTTAGAAGTCTGGGACTTATTCTTCAGAATCTCCTGCTTCTGATTCTGCTGCTTCTGCTTCTGCTGTGGGTTGAACTTCTTGTTGAGGATCTTATCAGCTTCATGCTTGACGACCTCACGGATCGAAGTGTCAACTGGTAAAGTTTCGGCTTCCGCAGCGGCCGTCTTCTTCTTTGCGTCAACCTCCTTGGCTTTTTCCGTCTGGTGGACTTCTGCCATAAGAGCGTCAGCAAGGTACAGTGACATCGATTTTTCGAACTCGGCCAAAATTTATCCTTGAAGAAGGCGAGATTATCGATGAGTTTCGGGTGTTTGTCTCCGAAAGCACTGGCCTTGGTCAGATCGATGTAATTATTCAGCTTATCTTGGAGCCATTGATGAACCCCGTTAGCGTCACTGAGAGCCTTTTCGGCGGCCCTCTTCTTCATTTTAATCATGATCCCCTGAACGTTGCCAAGATAAGCCTTGCAGGCAATATGGAGCTCATTGTTGGCTTCGATCTTGACATCTTCGTAGGGACAGATGAAGTCAAAGGCTTTAATCCGAATGCTGTGCGGAAAGTCTCCGGATTTAGCTTGCGAATCCATAATAAAGTGCTGAGATAAACTTTGGTGCTTCGCGAAATTTTTCTTGAAATCTGCGATAGCTTGATTCTTAAAATCGTTGAAGCACGGAGGAACCGGGTGCTTGTCAAGAATAGATTGATGAACGTCTCCAAGCAAGGAGAAAGAATCCGTCATGACGACATCCTCTGGAGAGGAATCCTTAGGATTTGAAACCTTCGGTGCGTCATTAAGTGGCACGGTGGCCGTTCCAGCAGGAGCTTGCTCTGTAGAACAGGCGCGCTTCTTGTTGGGTTGGACGGTATTCGTCGAGTCATCTTCACCAAATACAATCTGCTCAATGTTAGCTGGAAGTTTGGGCAGTTGCCCTGATGGTCCAGGAAGAGCAGGTACTTGGTTGAGAGTTGGAGTTGGAGTAGTTGAACCGGCCAGCGCAGCGGCGATGTAAGGGGCGAGACCAATGGACCCATATTTTTCAGGGTCAACCATGGTGGAAAAAGCCTTGCAAGGCAGCGGTTCTGAAAAAGCTCGAGCTGAAGGGATGTTCAGGAAGTTTTGATGGAAAACCAGTGATGAACTAGTTTCGGCTTATACAAGCCTTCATCAGCATCTACTGAACATCGGAGCATTCGAGCTGTCTAAATAGTGAGAGTGCGACCCGAGAAAAACTCGAGGGTCCACACCATCTCCGAGAAGGGGTCGCTGTAGCCTAGCAAAAAACTAGATAAGTGTAACAATTTCGAAACACCAAACTAGCATTTCCTTGCTAAGACTATAAAATCCTTGATCTTCTTTGGCAGCTATAAAATCCTTGATCTTCTTTGGCAGCTTCCATGCAATCAATGCACGTCGGCCGGAGAATAAACCGTGTATCAGCTTGTCCAGTTGTATTTTGAGTCGACTCAAAATACACCCGGGGGAACCGCGGCAGCAGGATGGCACAGGATGAGTGTTTCATCGGCATGTCGTAACATAGAACAATGCACGCATGGCAGGCGTGCATGTGCGCCCACGTGTGTGTGCGTGTGGGTGTGGGCGTGCGTGTGCGTGTGTGTGTGCGTGCGTGCGTGCGTGCGTGCGTGCGTGCGTGCGTGCGTGCGTGCATGCGTGCGTGCGCAAGGCAGAGACACAGATCCTGAGAGTGACCGCACGTAGCAGCTGAGTGCACCTGAGAGTGAGGGTGCAGAGGAGCGCACCTGAGAGTGAGTGTGCGGAGGAGCGCACCTGAGAGTGAGTGTGCGGAGGAGCGCACCTGAGAGTGAGTGTGCGGAGGAGCGCACCTGAGAGTGGGTGTGCGGAGGAGCACACCTGAGAGTGAGTGTGCGGAGGAGCGCACCTGAGAGTGAGTGTGCGGAGGAGCGCACCTGAGAGTGAGTGTGCGGAGGAGCGCACCTGAGAGTGAGTGTGCGGAGGAGCGCACCTGAGGGTGAGGGTGTGGAAGAGCGTCCAGCCGCGGATGCTGTGCGGCTGCTCGCTGATGATGGCGCGCGCCACCTCAAACTGCAGCATGCCACTCGCCTCCTCTGCGCCGCCGTGGGGGGGGAGGTGAGGGGAGAGAATGATGGCACAGCGGGAGGGCGGGAGGGAAGTGAGAGGGCAGGGGGGGGGGGTGTGCGGAAGGGATAGAGGCGTGGCAGCGGGGTGCGGAAGCTCACCACCGATGGCTGACTGCAGCTGCTTCCGCATGGGCTTGGGAAGGTTCCGGGAAAGCGCGCTCTCCACGAGCCTCTCAGCGTCCATGGGGCGGCCGTCGTGCAGCAGGCACTGCACCACCTGGGACGAGGGGGACGGAGAGGGGAGGGGTGGTGGTGGGGAGGCGGGCGGGATGCCATTTGTGCCGACTCAAAAGTCGTGTCGTGGTTTTGCACCACCTGGGGTGATTCGAAGGGGGGGGGGCGGTGGGAGAAGTGCACTGTCGAGACACCGACCCCCCAAGGTTCTCGGGCAACAGACACCGACCTCTGAGCGGCCTCTAGGGGATTGTGACACAAATGCGACACATATGGGGGGTGGAGAGGGGAGGGGAGGGCAGAGGCAGAGCAGTGCGGGGTGCATGGGAAGAGACGGGGCGGTGTGGGATGGGAAGAGGCGGGGCGGTGTGGGATGGGATGAGCGGAGCGGAACTTGTGGGGAGTGAAGGGTGGGAGGTGGCAGCAGCAGGGAGCGCGAGAAGGGGCGCTCCACCAGCACCCGGCACCGTCGGCCGCTGACAGAAGGATGATGGCGCTGAGGGACGCCAAGGTGCGACGGGAGACCGAAGAAGGAGCAGCAGAGCACCTTGAGCAGCACGTGGAACTGCTGGTCGTCTGAGAATATTCCAGGAAGTGGCACCTCGTGCAGGCGGGGCTCCTCCACGTCCGGCAGCCCCAGGTCGCTCAGCTGCACGCCCAGGGGGGAAGGGGTAGCAGGGTAAGGAGGATAAGGGGGGAAGGGCGGTGTCGGGGGGAAAGGGAAGAAAGGGTGGGGTAAGGGGATAGGGGGATTAGGCGGTTAGGGGGTTGGGGGAGGGGAAGTTTCTGAGAGGAGGGAGTGAGAGAAGCAAGGTGAGGGGGGATGCAGTGGAGCACAGCTTTCACGCGGATGACAACAGGCCATCATGTGCAACGCACCTCACTCACCACATGTTGCTTCACCTCCCCTCATCTGTTCCCCTCATTCTCACAACCCCTTTCCCTGCTCCCTCTTCCTCTCCTCCCTAGCTTCCCTCTCCCTTCCCCTACCCCCATGTTCCTTCCGTATCTCCCCCCCCACCTCTCGCCCCTTGCCTCACCTCCAGCTGCAGCCGCACCGAGTCCGTGCCAATCCCCCTTCGACCGCTGCCACATGGCATAGCTGTTCCTCCCCCCTCTCCTCCCGTTCCCCCATCTCCCTCCCCTGCGCCCCTCGCCCCCCCATGGCTGCCTGCCTCTCCGCCTCTTCTGCTGCCAGCCGTGCCAGTCGTCGGCGATTCGCCAGCTGGCAACTGACAGGGGGGGTTGGGAGAGGGGGAGGGGGGATGGGATATTGAGGGAGGAGTGGCGATGGGGTGGTGGGAGATGAGGAGAGGCGACGGGGTGGTGGGAGATGAGGAGAGGCGACGGGTGGTGGGAGATGAGGAGAGGGCGGGTGGTGGGAGATGAGGAGAGGCGACGGGGTGGTGGGAGATGAGGAGAGGCGACGGAACGGCGAGCGAGAGAGGAGGCGAGGTGATGAGGTGGTGGGATGAGGAGGGCAGGGGATGGAATGGCATGAGAGAAGGCGGGGTGGTGAGGACGTGTGAGGGAGGAATCCCTCATCCTCTCACAATATTACTCTCTCCACTGCTCTAGCCAGCCTAACCTTATCCCCTATATAGCCCTTCATCAGCCTCAGCCTCGTTTATAAGACTGAGCACCATGGCCCTACTCGTCGTTTCACCACCCCCCCCCCCCCCCACCCACGCGATCCCCCGGGGCAGGCGCAGCTTGAGCCCGCGGTACAGCCCCTCCTTGCCCTCGCGCGCCTGCTCGCCCAGCATCGCCTTCAGCTGCCGCATCCACGGCCGCCACGACGGGTGAGCTGCCTTAAAGGCTGACAGGGCCTGAGAGGGGCGCAGGGAGAGGTGAGAGAGGAGAGGAGAAGAGCAGGAGGTGGCTTGTGAGTCGACCCAAACCAAAATCACATTCACGGCAGTTCACATCTGTGAAGTGCCCAAGGCTTACAAGTGCCCAAGGCTTACAAGTGCCCAAGGCTTACAAGTGCCCAAGGCTTACAAGTGCCCAAGGCTTACAAGTGCCTGACTGCAGATGCCTCGAATATCCATCAAGCCTTCTTCCTCCACAAACTCAACCAGGCCAAAAGCGCCTTTGCCCCTCCCAATTTTTCATATCACCAATCTTAACCCTTACCTACGTCCCTGCCACCCAACCACCTGCCACCCAACCCGCTGCCGCCCAGCCCCTGCCAGCCAACCCCCTGCCACCTACGCCCCAGCCTCAACCCACCCGCTGGTTCTTGTCCATGGCCCACATCGACTGCTGCACCATGGGCAGCGCAACTTCCAGGAACTTGCTGGCGTTGTCGGCCTTGTCCCACAGGTGCGCCCGCGCCAGTCGCACCTCCACCAGCTTCCACCACGCCTCCGCCTGCCGGCCCCCCACGGGCCCCGCAGCTGCAGCACCAGCAAAGCTGGCAGTGGCAGTCGAAGCCCCCTCTTGCGCGTCGCCCTGCACCAGCACCTCCTTCCCCTTGCCCTTCTCCCCTTCCTCTCCTCCCTGCTGCGCTGCCTTGGGTCCCCTCTGCCGCCCCTCAGTCCGCTGCTGCGTCCCCTCCTGTGGGCCGTCCTCTGCCCCCTCCGTGGGCCCCTGCAGCACGGCAGCAGCCTCGTCCAGGCGGCCCGCCTGGGCGAGAGCGGAGGACAGCTGCAGGCGCGCGTGGGGCAGCCAGGGCAGGCACGCCACCACTGGGGGGGGGAGAGCAGGTGTTGGCGAGCGAAGAGGTGGGAATGACAAGGATGGGTGAGGACAGGTGAGGACAGGTGAGGACAGGTGAACACAGGTCAGTAGGCACTAGCAAACGAGTCGAGTTGGAAACTCGACTCGTTGACGAGTCGAGCTTTTAAAAAAGGCTTCCCCGACTCGGCTCGAGTCGAGTCGAGTCGAGTTGGGCAAGGCACGAGTAAACCTCGACTGGAACGTGGTGTTCTTGGCTAGTCAGCAACGAGTCGGGCCGGGTCGGGTCGAAATTGGCTCAAGTGAATCCATTTCGCCGCCGATCGGCATGGATCGAGTCGTTTCGACCGCCGATCCATGCGGATCTAGCGTCGACAGAGGGGACCAGTATTCCCCGCATATGTGAAACGAGTAGAGTCAAGCTCGGCTCAAGCAAGTCGGCCCTTGAATCGAGGCGAGTCGGCCCTTGACTGGGGGAGAGTTGAGTGGAAAGAATAGTGTCGTGCTTCTCTCTTCTCTCCCATTCACTTCACCTGTCCTTCCTCATTTCTTCTCTTTCCTTCTTGGTGACCCTTCCGCCTTTGGTAGGTGATTACTGGAGCTGTAGGACCGAGCTCTCCTGCCCCCTCCCTGGTCGAATCGGACGCCTTGTCCGCTTCGGCTCTGGGACTCTGCTGCTTGGTCCGCCTTTCTCCGGCTGCCGCGACGTTTGTTACATGCTCTCTCCTCGTTTCCCCTTTCTCGTTCTCCACCACTAGCACTCCCGATGAGCGAATCTCTTGACGCGCCACCTCTCACTTCCTACTGGTAGCTCCAAAGTATCTTTCCGCGCCTTTTTCAGGTACACCTCGCTTCCCACGGTCACGCTGCTGGATGTCCCTCCTGTCACTTGTTCTCGGCGTTGCTGATATCTGCGTGCATCCCTCAGCTGCGCGGTATGCAGATTTTCCAGCGCTGCTGGCATCAGCTCCTTCAAGTACTCTCCTCTACGCACTGCAGCTGCCGCCCAAGCTTCCGCTGACTCTTCGATCATTGGCTCAGTAAGTAGCTTAGGCACATCTACGGGCAGCACTGGCTCTCTGCCGTATAGCAAGTGGTATGGGGACATGTCCTTCAGCGCTGACTGCTTTGCGAACCGATAGCCCGCCAGTACCCATGGCAGCTCTATGTCCCACTCTCTCTTCCTCCGTTCTCCGTACACCCGCAGTCCTTTTTTTATCGTCTGTATCATCCGCTCGGTCAGCCCGTCAGACTGCGGGTGGTACCGCGACGTCACTCTGTGAGTGATACCTGCTTCTTTTAAGAGTTCGGCAAAGCTGCTTGGAACTCCGTGCCTTGATCTGTCAGCACTTCCCCGCAAGCGCCATATCTGGTGGTAACTTGATCCAGAAATGCTTCCCTTATCAGCCCGCTGTGTTTGCTGGCGATAGCTCTTGCCTCCACCCACTTGGTCGTGTGCTCTATCATCACCACTATGTACATCTTCCCTCGTCTGGATAATGGTAGTTCACCGGCCAGGTCCAGTGACACCTGAATCCCAAGCCCCGTATGGGCAGAGACTGCAGTTCTTCCCTTCCCTTCTCCAGCGCTGCCTTGTTCCGTTGACATGCCTCACACCCCTGCACCCACTTCGCTACGTCTCTCCTCATTCCTGCCCACTAGTAAGTCGTTTGTAATAGCTGCCTGGTCCTGGCTCCCCCGTAATGCCCCAGCTTCTCATGCACTGCTGCACGATGCGCTCTCTCTCTTCCGGCCTTGGCACCATTTTCCATCCCTCTGTCGTCCGGAGCTGCATTTGGCTCTGAAACCACGGTAGTGTCCTCTCTACCCCTTGCTCTCACTGTCACTGCTGCTGCATCCTCTGTCAGCCCTGCACCCAGTGCAATGTCTCCTGGTCTTGCCAGATGTCCTCTGCTCTTTGCTCCTTCGCCTCTTGCGCCAGATCTTTCTCTCCCTGCTGTATTGCGGCTGCTGCCCACTGCTGTTCCTCTGCGGGTGGAGGGTTCCTGGACAGACTGTCAGCATGTTGCAGCGTCTTGCCCCGCGCGATGCTTGATGACAAAATCATATTCCTGCAATCTCATTGCCCATCGTGCATTCCGCCCCGTCAGCGTCTGATTAGTCATCAGCCATAGAGCGGCTGGTGGTCTGTTACTAGCGTGAATTTGCGCCCTTGCAAGTAGGCCCTGAAGTGGGTTACTCCCCACACTGCTGCCAATCCTTCACCCTCGTATGAACTGTAGTTAGCTTCCGTTGCTGTACAGCTTCGACTGGCGTACGCCACCACTCGTTCTTCTCCTCCAGCTCTTGACACAGTACGGCTCCCATGCCCATGCTGCTCCAATCCGTGTAGATTGTGAATGGCGCGTCTTTCTTTGGCAGCTGCAGCATCGTCCCTGCCTTGATGGCCTCTAACAGGTCTCTTCTTGCCTGCTCCTCTTCTGTCCCCACTTCCATGCCTGCCCCTCCCTCAGCAGCTGATTCAGCTATATGCTCTCTTGCTGAAGTTCGGATAAAGCGCCAGTAGTAGTTCAAGAACCCCAGGAGTGCTCTCAGGGCTCCCTTGTCTTTTGGTGCCCCCAGCTTGTCTAGCACCGCCACCTTGGCCTCTTGGATCCCCATCTTCCCGCCTTGCACCTCAAATCCCAGGTAGGACCGTCTTTCTGGCTATTTTGCATTTCTCTGGATGGCAGGTCAGCCCTGCTGCGCTATAGCATCTAGCGTTGTCTTCAGGTGTTCAGCATGCTCTTCTTCGCTTTGCTGAAAATCACTACGTCATCTATGTAGCACGCTGCTGCTGGCACTGTCTTCAGCACTTGATCCATGACTCTCTGGAACACGGCTGATGCGTTCCTCAGCCCAAACGGCATCACGTTCCATTCGTACAGGCCGTCAGCTCCATGGAAGGCCGTCTTGCCTTTGTCTCCTTCTTTTATGCTATCTGATTGAATCCCTGTCGCATATCTAAAGTCGAGAATATGACCGCGCCTTCTAGCTTGTCGAAGATCTCCTCAGCAGTTGGCATGCTATATCGGTCGGCTCTCGTTACTCGATTGAGTTCTCGGTAGTCGCCACACATTCTTCTCGCCAGACCTCTCCTGTGAGATCTGTCCTTGCTGCCACCACTGTCGCTGCTGCGTAGGCTGAGTTAGAAGGGCGTATCAGCCCCGCCTCCAGCAGTTCTTTGCATTTGCTTCGGCAGATCTCTTCGTCTCCCGGCTCATCCGTCGTCTCCGCTGGTAGATGGGCACTTCGGTCTCCAGCAGTAGCTCCAGCTCGTGCAGCGTGCACTCCCCAGGTCTTGCAAGGTGTAGGCGAATGTCTTACGATGCTTTCTAGAGCTGCTGTATTGCTGTGCCACCTTGCCGTCAAGGTCCGGGCTCAGCTCCCACTTTTTCTCTCTTTCCTTCTTTGGCTCCTCCCCCTTTTTCTTGTCCATCGCCTCGCCCTGCTCTCCTTCTTGCGTTCAGGTAAGCCCGGCTTTGTTTGATCGGCTTCCTTCTCCTTCTGCTGGCCGTTGGCTCGGTTCTCGTTCGTGTGCTGCCGCATCATTTCCTTCAGCAGCCATTGTAAGGCATGCTGATCCATGCTCTTCCCAAGGCGCCCTGCTCTGCTCCCTCACTCCTCGTGCTGCAGTTGCCCCCGGCAGGTATCCCATGGCTAACTCTCGCTCGATTGCTGTGGCTCCTCCCACTGCCCTCTCTCTCTATCGTAGACCATCCCTGGACCTGGCTTGCCGTCTTCCAGTACGAACCCCCGTGCTCCCTCGTAGGCCACTAGGGTGGGCCAGGCTCTTCTCGGCTCGCCCAGCTTGTTGCATTGCAGCTGCTTCGGGTGATCTCTTTTCTACAGGGGCGCTGTCCTTCCTGGCTCCAGGATGTCATCTACTAAGAGTCGGGTGTCCCTCCTCAGGTCTGCTAATTCTGCTTCAGCTTCTCTGGCTCCACTCCATTTGCCAATATCTCCTTACCCGTGAGCCCTGGCCGTTCAGTGCTGCATCCCAACTTTGCCTGCCCCCAGCTCCGCACCACCTTCTCTTGCGTTGCCCTTATTGGTTCTCGCGGGTCCCCCTCCATGTCGACGTGCTCCACCACATAGCAGCATCTCGATCCCCCTTCCTGGATCCACCTCAGCACTTGCAGGAGCTCATCCAGTAACGCCGTGCGAGCATCTCCCATTCCTCGCCCTTTTCCGGCTCTTGAGGTGCCTTGGCACTCCCAGCCCGCCACTACCAGGTCCACTTGCCCCATCCCCATACGGTTGCTTCGTTCAGCTGTCTCACGTCCCACGCTCCTTCCTTTTTCGCCTCCTCAATCACGGCTTACTTATCTGTCCTGGGTATCTCATCAGCAATTGGTCTGCATGATGCCAGGCCATGCGCCTGGCCTTTGGGTCTATCTCCACTAGTATCCATTTTGCACGACCAATCCGGCTTCTAGCGCGCTGCCAACCCGCCCTATTCCTCCAAAGAGCTCCACTATCGTGATCGGCTTCTCCCCAGTGTGCTCCTTCTTCTGCCTGAGATTCCTTCCTCCTTTCTCGGCCGCTTTCTTGCCCCCTGCTTTTCTCCTCCTCTACCTTTGTAGTGACTCCGTGGCTCTCAGGGCCTTCCTTGGCTCCATCTTCACAAACCGCACCGGTAACTCTCCCTGTTCTCCGCCTTCTTCCAATTTCGGTCCTGAAGCTCAGCTTCTCCCCCATGCATCAATTTGCCCCCTATCTTGTAAATCAGCTCCATCCCCACAGCAGGTCGTAGTCTTCTGACTCGGACAGCCCGCACTGCACTCGAATCCGAGTCTCCCCTTTCTGTCCTGGCAGCAGCGCCACCTCCACTGGCTCCTTCGTGCTTGGCATCCATTTGGTGGCCCGCCCTCCGCCGTCATGATGAGCATTCCTTTGCTCACCGTTTCCAGCTTCCCTTGCTTCTTCAAACCTCTGCTAGCCTCTCCCATCAGTACACTCTGCGCTCCTGTATCGATGATGGCATTCTCCACCTTCACTCCTTGTACGGCTATGGAGCCTGCTTCCGCCAGTAAGGCGGTCGTGTGGCACACCAGCCTGTCCTCGGATGATGCTTGGCCCGCTCCCTTACTTCTTCTTCTCTTTCCCATCTTCCTGCTGCGTGTCTCGGCCTTCAGCTCCTTCCTCCCATCCACCCCACCGCTGCGCAGTCCCAGATCTTCTCTTCTCGGGGTAGTGTCGCCACCATCGCTACTCAGACTCCTGATCTCTTCCTCATCTCATCCTCGTCCTCCCACGCCATCATCGCTTTCTCGGATCTTCGCTGATTTCCGCTTTTCCCATTGCGCTCTCAGCTTCTTCACCTCCTGCTCCAGCTCTTGTTCTCTCGACGATTTCCCCTTTGTCCTCCTCTCCGGTAGCACTGAGTGCTCAGATGCCCCTTTTTCCACATTCGCTGCAGTGGGAGCTGGGGCAGTTCCTCCTGAAGTGGCCCATCTGCCCGCAGTGGTCGCACGTGATGCCCATCACGCAGTCCTTGCGAGATGGCCCACCTCTCCACACTTGTGACAGCGCCGATCATCTCTCGGCCTCTCCCTCCTTCTTCTTCGTTGTCGACGTACTTCTTTGCTGACCACACCGGTCTTCTCTTCTCTGGGGGTTTACGAGCTCCCCTCATCATGTCTACATAGCGTCTCCCCTCCTCAGCTTCTTTGGCGATCTGATATACCTGCCTCAGCGTGGCCTTGGCTCTAATGGGATACAGCGCACTCCTCATTTCATTGACTAAGTCTTCTTCCAGACCTCCTAAGAATTTCGTGACCATAAGACGGTCCTCTAAGCAGTTAAGAATCTTCAGATAGCTCTACTAAACGGTTATAATATGCAGCAGTGATTCGCCCTTCCCTCTACGGAACTCACTAAATTCAGCTACACGATCGGCCGTGGTCGCCCGGAAACTGCTCTTTCAGAATCTCGTAGAACCGATCTACTATCATCCGGGCTGGAAGTTCCCCCTGCTCATATTCCCGCAACAGCCTTGCTCACTCTACTCGATAGTGCGTCTGAGCTTCTCCTCGGAGCGTCTTTCCTAGACCTCTGAAGAATTCTACTGGGTCCAGCCCCTCTCGATCCCAGCAATAGCGGATATCATCGATCATCATGATGTAATTCTTCAGCGATGGTTCTTCCCCAGGCACGCCTGAGAATCGCTCGGGCACTTCTATTTTCGGTACACTCGCGACTGTCGACCGTCCAGTTTTCCCACGACTTCGTCCTTCCTCCTCCTACTGAGTAACCTCCCGCCGCTCGATCTTCTAGGGATCTAGTCCCGTGCTCTCTAGGCTGCTCCTTCTGGCATCTCTCTTCCTCTTTTTCCATCTCTGCTCGCTCCTGCGATCTCACTACGCGCCCTGGCGTTCCTCCGCGCGAACTCATCCCCGAATCTCCGCGACTCCGCGGATCTGGCGATCCGACGTCTTCTCCACCTTTTTCGCTCGCCGCCGCTGAAAGCCTCCGCTTCACGTCTCTCGGGCTCATGTGGCCCTGCGCGATACACCGGACGCAGAGGAGGCTGCATCTCCTCCTGCACGTTCCTCGACGGGTATCTGATTCCCGATCTGAGGCGATGTCCCTCAGGACTCGCCTCTCGACTCATCACCGCCTGCGGTCCCACCCTCTTCTGCCCGCGGCTTATCTTCGTCACACCGCTAGTGAATCACTATCCTCAGCGGGTCGCTCGGGTCGCTTTTCGCTTGTATGTTACAAGCCACACGCCGCCAGCTCGGATCTGCTTAAGACCGAATTCCCGCGCTGCTAGACTCCAGTAGGTTTAGAGCAATTTGCAGTATAGAAGGAAAACATACAAGCGAAAAGCGAATGTCCTACGGAGTCACCTCCTATTTACATGTCCACCTCTATCCCTTTCTCACCCTTCCTCCTTGTTATCCTCTCCGGGAACTAGGATTGCCCCTAGCCCAGGTTCTCGTCAAATTAGCCCCCATGCTGACGCCCTTCGCCCTCTTCCTGCATGCGCCTCGACACTCTAACATTCCAATGCCACCTCCCTAGATTCGCCCACTTCCCAAATTCACTACAGTATTCTACTGTACCACCCCTTTTTGTTCAGCCTATGCTCTCTTGTATATCCCATCTTACAATTCTTCTCTTTCATCTTCTCACCACTTCTCTTGCTGCTGTGACAATAGGAGCGAGTGCAGGGAGAGAAGAGAAGGGCGAGCACACAGGGTACGGATAGAGAGGGTCGTGCAGGGGTGCACGCACTCACAGATGCACGCACACGCACACTCACACGCACAGATAGACACATGTGCACGTGCATGCCACACACACACACATGCACACACACACACACACACACACCACACACACACACACACACCCTTTCACACAAACCACCCACCCTCCCCCACCCCCCACCCCCAACGCCCATGCACGCACCTCGCTGCAGAATGAGCACAGCCTGGTCCACGTCTCCAGCAGCCGCCACATTGCTGCCCCCAGCTTCACCCACACCGCCGCTCGCCCCTCCACCTCCCCCCACGCTGCCGCTGCCCCATCGCTCTCGCCCCTCTGCCGCTGATGCTGCCCCGGCAGCCCCTGTGGCAGCAACAGCAGCAGCCTGAGCAGCAGCGAGAGCCACATCATCCCAGGGGGAGCAGAGCGGGCGGTAGAAGCGGATGGCATCTGCCGCCCGGCCCACGGCCATGAAGGCGTCGGCTGCCCTCGGTGAAGAGATCGGCGCAGTCGCCTGCACTCTCCTGCTGCAGGGCCGTGAGGTACGGCTGCCACAAGGGGGGGGAAACGGAAAGAGGGGGGAGGAGGCGTGCAGGGAGGAAGGGGAAAGGAAGGGAAGGGGTTGAAGAGATGAGCACAATATTCCTGCTTCTGATGGAAGGAATCAAAGCGAGGAGAAATTGAAACGATGTGGGCTCTCTTGCTACATGGCTGCCAAGTAGCGCTGAACGGGGAGGAAGACGGGATGAGGAAAGGGAAAGGAAAGGTGGGGGAGGCGGGCAGCGATTATGAGCTGCGAAGCCGTGCCACGCACGCGGTGGGAGCGCACAAGATGAAGCTCCACGCGTACGATAGAGCACGGCGGAAAGAACGCCGCGCATTGTTCCAAAGTCGTTCAAATACAAGCGAGGGACCACCATTGCCAAGGGTGCCTTGGAACAAGCGAGGGACCACCATTGCCAAGGGTGCCTTGGGAACAAGCGAGGGACCACCATTGCCAAGGGTGCCTTGGAACAGCTCCATGCAACAGCTGCCATCACCCTCGCCTCATCCTCCCCCCAGCCTCACCTCGGCCTCCCGGAAGCGCCCCAGTCTGACGAGGCACACGCCCGCCTTGGCGCCCAGGTCCACCGGCAGGGCCTCCCCACTACACAGCGATGCGCGCGCGCTCTCCACCATACTCAGAGCTTCCCGAAAGTTCTGCTTGGCCATGTGCAGCTCCGCTAAAATGTTGACCGCCGTGAGGTCGACCGGGGGCGCGGGGCAGGGGGAGGAGGTGCTGGGAGGCGCGGAGGAGGAGAGCAGGGACTGGAGGACCTCGATGGCCTTGTCTGATTGGTCGATGCGGTGATACATCTGGCGGGGGGGGGAAGGAGATCCGAAATGGGTGATGGACGGGATGGCCATTGCAGTGCGTTGCAGTGCATTGTGCACGCATGGCTGTCAGCACAGACATACCCAACAAGAAATGCCCCGCGCTTGTGCTCTAAATCCCTGGCAACGCCATGCCACGTTGATGCACACGATCCCATGCCATGTTGATGCACACGATCCCATGCCAGGCAAATCAATGCAATCCCACACCACACCGGACATCTCACCCATCCCATGCATCTCACCCATGCATCTCACCCATGCATCTCACCCATGCATCTCACCCATCCCATGCATCTCACCCCTTCCCATGCATCTCCACCCATCCCATGCGATCTCACCCCTCCCATGCATCTCACCCCTCCATTGCATCTCACCCCTCCCATGCATCTCACCCATGCATCTCACCCATGCATCTCACCCATGCATCTCGCCCATGCATCTCACCCATGCATCTCACCCATGCATCTCACCCATGCATCTCACCCCTCCCATGCATCTCACCCCTCCCATGCATCTCACCCCTCCCATGCATCTCACCCGCGCCAGCATCTTGCAGACCTCCCCCATCGGCCTCCCTCTCCCCGCGCGCGTCTCTCTGTGCGCGCATCAGCTCCAAGGCAGTGCGGGCCCGCCGGAAGTCCCCCGCCTCCGCCAGCAGCAGCGCCTGGTCCACCGCGCCTCCAGGTCCGCGGGCTCTTTGCGCACCACCTGGGAGGAAGGGGGTGGGGGGGGAGGGGGGCAGGGCAGCAGAAGTGTGCGGGAGAGAGAGGCGAGACGGGCAATCGCGGCACCACGGGTAGTCCCCCGCCTCCGCCACCAGCAGCGCCTGGGTCCCACCGCGCCTCCAGGTCCGCGGGCTCTTTGCGCACCACCTGGGAGGAAGGGGGTGGGGGGGGAGGGGGGCAGGGCAGCAGAAGTGTGCGGGAGGAAAGAGGGCGAGACAGGCAATCGCGGCACACCGGTAGTCCCCCGCCTCCGCCAGCAGCAGCGCCTGGTCCCACCGCGCCTCCAGGTCCGCGGGCTCTTTGCGCACCACCTGGGAGGAAGGGGGTGGGGGGGGAGGGGGCAGGGCAGCAGCAGTGTGCGGGAGAGAGGGCGAGATGGGCAACCGCGGCACACCGGTAGTCGCCCGCCTCCGCCAGCAGCAGCGCCTGGTCCCACTCCCACGGCGCCTCCAAGTCACTGGGGTGGCGGCGCACCACCTGGGGTTCAGGACGAGGGGAGAGGGCGGAACAGAGGTGGGGTGGTGAGGGAGCAGAGGCAGCTGCAGCCCATTGGTAGTCCCCCGCCGCCCCTCTCTGCTCGCAGCCAGCGCCTGGCCCCACCGCGCTTCCAGGCCATGGGGACGACGGCGCACCACCTGGGAGGGATGAGGGGGGGGAGATGGGAAGAGAGCGAAACACTGTGGCGTTTCAAGCAGCAGCAGCGCCGGGCCCACCGCGCGTCCAGCCAGCAGGATCACGGCGCACCACGTGGGAATGGGGAGGGGAGAGAGGGTGGCGGAGGGGGGCGGCCCCCTGCACCTCTCCAGTCATCCTGTGCCGCTGCCAGCAGCCACGCCGCCTGCTCCCACACTGCCTCCAGGCCCGACCCGAGGGGCCCCGCCCCGGCGCACGACCTGGGAGGGATGGAGCGGGAGGGGCGTGGAGAGAGTGCGGGTGCGACGAGCAGCATGGGCGTGTGGGAGAGGACGAGCGGGAGCGGGGGGGCGAGGGAAAGATGAAGGAAAGGATAGGGAAAGTGGGAGAGATGGGAAGGTGGGAACACGAAGAATAGACGGGGAGGGGAGAGGAGGGGGAGAGGGAGGGGAAAGGGAGGGGAGAGGGAAGGGGAAAAGGGGCGAGCGAGGGTACCTTGGAGAGGCAGTAGAGGGACTGAGAGGGGTTGCCCAGCTCGCTGCAGCACACGGGGGGCGTTGGGGGGGGCAGGGCGCAGCACAACACAAGGGTGGGTCAGGCGGGGTTGGAAGAGAGGTGGCAGGCGGCGAGTAGAAGAGTGACTGATGCAGTCCATCCCAGCCATGCTGCCGGCATTCACTCCACCTTCCAACAGCCGCAGCTGTCTCGCTCTCTCACACTGCGCAGCGATCATGCTGAGGTTGACGCTCTCTCCCCCCCTCCCCCACCGCGCCCCTTACAGCGACCAGGCGGCCAGGCGGCGCCACAAGGCGGTGTCCTGCGGGGTGAGGTGCGCCGCGATCATGCTCAGGTTCACGGCGCGCCGCCGCTCGCCCAACGCCTCGTACACCAGCGCCAGCGTCTGGTAGCTGTCGGGCACGGAGGGGGCCTCGCGGATCACGGCCTCCAGGAGCGGAATGGCCTGCAGAGAGGGATGGAAGCGCGGGATGGAAGGGGTGGGGTTGGGATGGCGCGTGCCTGGGCAGCAGAGGCAGCATGTGGCGGCTGGGCGGGAATGATGGGACTCCCTTATCGCGGCCCCGAGGAAGGAAACCGCCTGGGGAGAGGGAAACCGCCTGGGGAGAGGGAAACCGCCTGGGGAGAGGGAAACCGCCTGGGGAGAGGGAAACCGCCTGGGGAGAGGGAAACCGCCTGGGGAGAGGGAAACCGCCTGGGGAGAGGGAAACCGCCTGGGGAGAGGGAAACCGCCTGGGGAGAGGGAAGGAGGCGGTGAGGGTGGATGGCGAGTGCCTCGCGCAGCAGGGCGAGGTTGAATGCGCTGCATTCGTGACGAAGAAGAAGGCACGTGATTGAAACAGCATCATCAGGAAGCATCGAAGGATGAGCGCGTGCAAAGTTGTGATTGAAATCGTGGATAACAGATGAGCTCAGTCGCTTAAAAAAAAGCACTGCGCTGCGCTGAGATGGACACTCAGAACCGAACAAGTGTATGGCTGTGCACTGCGTGTTATGTGTGGCATGCCGAATCTACTCATGTCGCGGATGAAGAAGAGGGGGAAAGAACCGGGATGATGCGGCTGACGCATCATCTGCTCCGGGATTTCCCTTCGCCTACGCCTTCCTCCGGGATTTCCCTTCGCCTACGCCTTCTCGCCTTCCTTCTCGCCTTCCTTCTCGCCTTCCTTCTCGCCTTCCTTCTCGCCTTCCTTCTCGCCTTCCTTCTCGCCTTCCTTCTCGCCTTCCTTCTCGCCTTCCTTCTCGCCTTCCTTCTCGCCTTCCTTCTCGCCTTCCTTCTCGCCTTCCTTCTCGCTTCCTTCTCGCCTTCCTTCTCGCCTTCCTTCTCGCCTTCCTTCTCGCCTTCCTTCTCGCCTTCCTTCTCGCCTTCCTTCTCGCCTTCCTTCTCGCCTTCCTTCTCGCCTTCCTTCTCGCCTTCCTTCTCGCCTTCCTTCTCGCCTTCCTTCTCGCCTTCCTTCTCGCCTTCCTTCTCGCCTTCCTTCTCGCCTTCCTTCTCGCCTTCCTTCTCGCCTTCCTTCTCGCCTTCCTTCTCGCCTTCCTTCTCGCCTTCCTTCTCGCCTTCCTTCTCGCCTTCCTTCTCGCCTTCCTTCTCGCCTTCCTTCTCGCCTTCCTTCTCGCCTTCCTTCTCGCCTTCCTTCTCGCCTTCCTTCTCGCCTTCCTTCTCGCCTTCCTTCTCGCCTTCCTTCTCGCCTTCCTTCTCGCCTTCCTTCTCGCCTTCCTTCTCGCCTTCCTTCTCGCCTTCCTTCTCGCCTTCCTTCTCGCCTTCCTTCTCGCCTTCCTTCTCGCCTTCCTTCTCGCCTTCCTTCTCGCCTTCCTTCTCGCCTTCCTTCTCGCCTTCCTTCTCGCCTTCCTTCTCGCCTTCCTTCTCGCCTTCCTTCTCGCCTTCCTTCTCGCCTTCCTTCTCGCCTTCCTTCTCGCCTTCCTTCTCGCCTTCCTTCTCGCCTTCCTTCTCGCCTTCCTTCTCGCCTTCCTTCTCGCCTTCCTTCTCGCCTTCCTTCTCGCCTTCCTTCTCGCCTTCCTTCTCGCCTTCCTTCTCGCCTTCCTTCTCGCCTTCCTTCTCGCCTTCCTTCTCGCCTTCCTTCTCGCCTTCCTTCTCGCCTTCCTTCTCGCCTTCCTTCTCGCCTTCCTTCTCGCCTTCCTTCTCGCCTTCCTTCTCGCCTTCCTTCTCGCCTTCCTTCTCGCCTTCCTTCTCGCCTTCCTTCTCGCCTTCCTTCTCGCCTTCCTTCTCGCCTTCCTTCTCGCCTTCCTTCTCGCCTTCCTTCTCGCCTTCCTTCTCGCCTTCCTTCTCGCCTTCCTTCTCGCCTTCCTTCTCGCCTTCCTTCTCGCCTTCCTTCTCGCCTTCCTTCTCGCCTTCCTTCTCGCCTTCTTCTCGCCTTCCTTCTCGCCTTCCTTCTCGCCTTCCTTCTCGCCTTCCTTCTCGCCTTCCTTCTCGCCTTCCTTCTCGCCTTCCTTCTCGCCTTCCTTCTCGCCTTCCTTCTCGCCTTCCTTCTCGCCTTCCTTCTCCTTCCTTTCTCCTTCGCCTTCCTTCTCGCCTTCCTTCTCGCCTTCCTTCTCGCCTTCCTTCTCGCCTTCCTTCTCGCCTTCCTTCTCGCCTTCCTTCTCGCCTTCCTTCTCGCCTTCCTTCTCGCCTTCCTTCTCGCCTTCCTTCTCGCCTTCCTTCTCGCCTTCCTTCTCGCCTTCCTTCTCGCCTTCCTTCTCGCAGCTCGCGTCAGCCGTGTCCACCCAGCCATCCCCCCTTCTCCAGCTGGACCATCAATGTCAATCTTCACCTGACTGCTCTTCTACCATCAACTCTTCTCTATCCTCTTGCTCCTAACCACTCATACCCTAGTCCGTCCTCTCCTCTCCTCTCCTCCCTCCCTCACCTCGCTGTACCGCCCCATGGCGTACATCAGATTCGCATGTCTCACCTCGCTGTACCGCCCCATGGCGTACATCAGATTCGCATGTCTCGCCTCGCTGTACCGCCCCATGGCGTACATCAGATTCGCATGTCTCACCTCGCTGTACCGCCCCATGGCGTACATCAGATTCGCATGTCTCACCTCGCTGTACCACCCCATGGCGTACATCAGATTCGCATGTCTCACCTCGCTGTACCGCCCCATGGCGTACATCAGATTCGCATGTCTCACCTCGCTGTACCGCCCCATGGCGTACATCAGATTCGCATCCCCCAGCTTCGACACCACGCCGGCGACAGCCGAGATGAGCCCTTGGGGCGCCCGCGCTTGCGCAGCTGCGGGCGGGGAAGTGCAGGTGGGGAAGTGCAGGTGGGGAAGTGCAGGTGGGGAAGTGCGGGTGGGGAAGTGCAGGTGGGGAAGTGCGGGTGGGAAGTGCGGGTGGGGAAGTGCGGGTGGGGAAGTGCGGGTGGGGAAGTGCGGGTGGGGAAGTGCGGGTGGGGAAGTGCGGGTGGGGAAGTGCGGGTGGGAAGTGCGGGTGGGGAAGTGCGGGTGGGGAAGTGCGGGTGGGGAAGTGCGGGTGGGGAAGTGCGGGTGGGGAAGTGCGGGTGGGGAAGTGCGGGTGGGGAAGTGCGGGTGGGGAAGTGTGGGGAAGTGCGGGTGGGGAAGTGCGGGTGGGGAAGTGCGGGTGGGGAAGTGCGGGTGGGGAAGTGCGGGTGGGGAAGTGCGGGTGGGGAAGTGCGGGTGGGGAAGTGCGGGTGGGGAAGTGCGGGTGGGGAAGTGCGGTGGGGAAGTGCGGGTGGGGAAGTGCGGGTGGGGAAGTGCGGGTGGGGAAGTGCGGGTGGGGACGAAGAAGGACGGAATGCACGCGGGGTGCCATGCAGGCGATGGAGCACATGGGGCAAGCGATGGAGCACATGGAGCAAGCGATGGAGCACATGGGGCAGCGGGCAACGGGGAGATGGGCCGACCATCGTACGATGGAGACCTCATCCATGGCAGGGGTTTGAGAGGTGGGAAAAACAAAATCACTTGGCAGGAACGCATGCACGGACCATCTTCCTTCTCTTGCGCGATGGTGTCGTGGCCGCCTCCCAGATCTCGTCCATGCTCGCTCCAAACAACGCCGCCCGCGCCGACCCCCCTCCCCTTCCCCCATCGCTGCTGTCCTCGTCAGCCCCCTGTGTGCGGCAACGCCTGCATGGGAAGACACGGGCGAGGCAGGCACGCAGGGGGAATGAGGAATGAGGAATGGGGACGAGGAGAGCGGAGAGCGGAGAGCGGAGAGCGGAGAGCGGAGAGAGGACGAGTGCGCCGAGGGCACCGACGGAACGGGGGGATCACGGGAAGGGATGGAGTGCGAGGGGGGAGGATGTGAGGAGAAAAAGCGGAAGAGGTAAGGCAATTGGCGGTAATGGACCATAAGAGAAGAGAACGGCAAATCAACGCGGCCGGGAAGAAAGGGTGGGGCTGGGGGGGGGGGGGAGGGGAGTGCGAGGAAATAGAAGTGCAAGGGGAGAGAAACAAGGCGAAGGGGAAGGCTCAAGGAATGAAGTCATTGGCAGGAGCAGCTCCACTACCTTCCTCTCTTTGCCCGCTCCTCGCCCTCCTCTCCCCATCCTCCACCACCCCCCGTGTCCCCCTCGCCTCCTCCCCTCGCCCCCACTGCGTGATTGCCTCAAGAGCCAGCGCTGGGTTGCGGTGGGCCGGCAGAGAGGGAGGTGGCACCGGCACCAGCGGTCCATGCGTGCAGGGCGACGCCCTCACCCCCCTCCTCGCCGTCTCCCACACTACCATGCTTCCTTCCCCTTCCCTTCCCCCTTCCCCTTCCCCTCCCTCTCCCTCTCCCCCTCCCCCTCCCCATCCCTCTTCCCCTGCCTCTGTCTTTCCCCCGCCCCCTTCGTGGAAGATTCGCATCGTCCTGTTCGTCCCACCGCCCGTCCGTGTCCTCTTCCAGGCACCCGCGTCACTCCCACCGCTCTCCCCCTTGCCCCTCCCTCTACCCCTGCCTCTCCCCCTCCCCCTACCCCTCCCTCTCCCCCTTCCCGTGTGCCGCTTCTGCCCCTACCTTCACCCCTTCCCCTTCCCCTTCCCCTTCCCCTCCCCCTCCCCCTCCCCCTCCCCCTCTCCCGTCCCAGTCCCTCCCCATCACGGGGCAGCCTGTCATCCCCTGAAACGCCTCTTGCCGCTGCTTCCCTTCCCAACCCCGCCGCTCCCCCCGCTCTCTCCGCGCTCGCCTCTGCTCCCGCCTGTAAAGCGCCCCTCTCCTGCGTGCCTGACTCACCCCCTTGCACCTCCTCCCCTCGCCCCTCCCCCTCGTCCCCCGTGTCCCCGTGCGCGCTGCTCGTCTCCGGCGCCCAATCCGAATCCTCCTCCGAATCCCCTCTTCCTCCTCCTCTTCCTCTTCCTCTTCCTCCTCCTCTTCCTCCTCCTCTGACTCTCTCCTCTCTCTCCTCATTTCCGCTCCCTCGCCCCTTTCGCTCGCACCCCCCTCTTCGCCCGCCTCCTCCTCCTCCTCGTCTTCCTCCTCGTCGGACTCGTACGCGATATTGTCAGCCTCGTCATCGATCACTTCCTCCATCTCCGCTACCTCCTCCAAATCCCCTTCCTCCATCGCCCTACCGCCCTCCTCCTCCTCCCCCTGTTGCTCATCCTCTTCTTCTTTCTCTCCCTCCAGGTCATCAATATGCCACGCGTCAAGCACTCCGGTATCGTCCCCGTCTTCGTCGATACGTGTGGGCCCCACACCCCCCATCGCACCTAAGCGCACTCCCCACTGTCTCAAGCTACCGTCGTTCGCATCGCAGGGCCCCCCCCGGCCGCACTCATCGAGCGCACCGCCGGTGCGTGCGCCGCCGGTGGCAGCGGCGCCTCAGCGGTTGTCACGCGGGGCTTGAGCAATGGCCCTCAACGCTGGCTTGGCACGGCAGCGAAAAATGCTCAATGAGCAGGACGGGAACCGTACGCGGAAAGAGCTACCTCGTGAAGATACGATCGTTGGCATGGTTAAACACGGTAAACGTTGATGAGGACAATCCAGGGACGTGCTGAGAAAGGGCCCGTGTAGCCTAGATTCTGGTGGCAGACTTCACCGGCGCAATTCGAGCTGATAACTCTTACAGTACCATTGCCGATCTAAGAAGTGTGTTATGAATGGAAATGCCGGAGTAGCGCGGAGGGCAATGGCGAAACTGTGAACGAGTGAATTACAATAAAATGAAAGACAACACAATGTATAGGAAACCTAGGGCGAACCTGGACGTAGGATCGGAAGGTTCGGGAAAAGTGTCAAAGGGCCTCGATGTGTCGAAGCGAGGTCCGGTAAGGCACAGGAGGCTCGAACTGAAAGGTCTGGAACCCTACCGATGGTTCGGGACTGTTCGAGTAGTACGCCTTGTAGCAAGCCTCAGTAAGGAATGACTAATTCCTTACACTCTCCCCCTTTCCAGATAAGCACACAGATAAAACAAACTACACACACTCTAACTGCATCTCGTCATAGTGAAGCCACCACTGATGAGAATCTCGAGCTTCTTCAGAGAAACTCCATCCAACGGTCGAAACACGTCAAAACGATCGCGATCTATCTTAGCCGTCGAATCTTGGTCAAATTACCCAGATAACCTAACGGGCAGTAGGAATACTACCGTACCACAGCTTCCTTGTCTCCAGCGAGTCCATCGCCGAGAATTACAACTCCCGTCGTCGTGCACAGTATCCGCACAGTAATATCAAAATTAGTGAAGTGTTATTGAGAGAGTGAGAGTACACACAGATATACCTAAGTCTTGTACCCTCTAAGAGGTGACCCTATACAGACTATACAAACATGACAAATACACATGTTTGACAAGTAATACTACAGCGGATGTGACATTTGTCAACTTATACATATTATCTATGTAGAAGTTACAGGCTAGACTGAGGTATGCTTCTAGTGAGTACAACCAACTAGTATTTGTTCTAGGTTTCCACCTCTAGTAATCATTCGTTTCTACGTTAACATGGTATCACGCTTAGGTTAGGATCCCCCCGCCTACCGCTTCCGCCCGTCGCGCCTCCTAGGCCCCGTCGCGCCCCCTAGGCCCCGTCGCGCCCCCCCTGGGCCCCGTCGCGCTCGTTAGGCCCCGTCGCGCCCCCCCTGGGCCCCGTCGTGCCCGCTGGGCCCCGTCGCGCCTCCTAGGCCCCGTCGCGCTCCCCCTGGGCCCCGTCGCGCCCGCTGGGTCCCGTCGCGAACCCTAGGCCCTAACGCGCCCCCGCTGGGCCCCGTTGCGCCTCCTAGGCCCCGTCGCGCCCCCCATGGGCCCCGTCGAGCCCGCTGAGCCCCGTCGTGCCTCCTAGGCATCGTCGCGCCTCCTAAGCCCCGTCGCGTCCCCCCCTCTGGGCCCCGTCGCGCCCGTTCGGCCTCGTCGCGCCCCTCCTAGGCCCCGTCGCGCCCGCTGGGCCCCTTCGCGCTTCCTAGGCCCCGTCACGCCTGCTGGGCCCCGTCGCGCCCCCCTGGGCCCTGTCGCGCCCGTTAGGCCCCGTCGCGCCCCCCCTGGGCCCCGTCGTGCCCGCTGGGCCCCGTCGCGCCCCTTAGGCCCCGTCGCGCCCACTGGCCCCTGTCGCGCCTGCTGTTAGCGCTCGCCCGCCTGGCCTCCTCCTAGTGCCGCTCGGCCTCCTCCTAGTGCCGCCCGACCTCCTCCTAGTGCCGCCCGGCCCTTCCTAGCGCCGCCCGGCCTCCTCCTCGTGCCCGACCGGCCCCAGCAGCACCAGCCTGGCCCCTCCCAGCACCAGCCCGGCCCTAGAGCACCTGCCCGCCTCCCCTGCTCGGCCTGCCGTGTCCTCTCGGGCCCTGTGTCTTCTGCTTGCCTGCGCTGGGACGCCTAGCTGCTGCCCTACTGGAGAGTGCTGCCGCCGTGTCCCCGCGCCGCTGTGCTCCTGTGCCGCTGAGGAGCTGTGCTACTGTGCCGCTGTGTCGCTGAGGAGCTGTGCCGCTGACCCTGCACGATGGCTGACTTTGTGCTCCGCCTGGACGCTGAGGGCCACGCGGTTGACTTCGCCGCCTGGCTCTCCGATCTTCGCCGCCAGCTTACAGGTCAGCGCCAGGATGGCCACTCTCTGGTTGTCCATGCTGATGGCTTGCTCCCCCGTCCCCCTGCACCTACTCCCCTCCCTGCTGACCCCTCCTCTGATGACCGTGAGGCTTTCTCTACTGCTGCGCTGGCCTGTGCGGTCTGGGACTCACGCGATGCAGTAGCTCAGGTTGCTATTAGTCACGCCCTCCCTGTGTCTGAGCGCTCGCGTTTTGCTACTGTTGAAACGGCCAAAGCTTATTTAGACGCCGTTATTGCTCGCTATTCCACCCCTGCCTCCGCTTCTGCTGGCCGCTTGCTCTTTCCGATGCTGTTCCCAGACCTGGCTGCCTTCCCTACTGTCGCAGATTTTGCCACTCATTTGCGTGCCCTAGAGACTCGCTATCGCACTGCCAGCACTGCTGCCCAGCTCACTGCGCTCCCCCCTCCTTTCTGCATGACGCTCTATTTTATCGCTATGCGCCTGCCAGACCGCCTCGCTAGTGCTCGCGACCACTTTCTTAGCCAGCACCCGGGTGACCTCACCCTGACCGCCTTTGTCGACACCCTCACTGAGATCGAGACTCGCCAGCGCACTATCGCTCAGTCGAGCGGTGCGCCGGCAGTCTCTATCTTTCACGGCTGTGCCCCATCCCAGTGCACGTTCACTGACGTTTCGGCTGCGGTCGCCACGGCGACCCCTCTTACCGAGACGGCTGCTGCTGTCCACCCGCAGCAGCGCTCGCGTCGCGGTGGGCCATGGCCGCCAGGGAGGTAGGGGTGGTGACGCAGGTGGTAGTGGTCGTGGTGGTGGTGACGGTAGTCCGCCTGAGGGGACTACCACCGGTGGGCAGGAGCAGCAGCCCCAGCAGCAGCAGGACCAGCCCCAGCCGCAGCCGCCGTCCCAGCAGCACCCGCCGCAGCCGTGGGCTCGTCTCCCGCCTGGTTGGCCCGGCACCTCCGGAGGCGGTGGCCGTGGGTGGCGGCCCGCGCAGCTTGGCGTCTTCCAGCGGCTCCTGTGCTGTGACCTGCCAGTACCAGCTTCAGACCGGGCCTCTCCGCGGCACTCTGTGCCGCCGCCCGCACCCGACCGCCCGCTGTTTCCGCCGCCTCGACGATCTTTTTCGTCGTCGCTTTGGCCCGGCCCCGGACCTCCCTGACTGGCACAGCCTGCTCCGCCAGGGCGTGCCGATCTTTGAGTTAGACATGGATCAGATAGGTGCTGCTTTGCATGCTTTGTATGCTGACGCTTCTAGTGTTGCTGGATCTTACTACCCTGTGTACTCTAGTTTTAGGTGTTTCACCCTTGTGTAGCTTAGCTTCCCCTGCTGCGACAGGCGTAGGACTGCCTAGGTTGCCTAGTCTAGTCGCTGCACCGGCTCCGTCCCCGGCCTCCGCCACTGCGTCGCTGTCCTTCACTCTCGACTCTGGTGCTTCTGCCTGCTTCTTCCGCGACCGTTCCACGCTCACGCCGCTTGCGGCACCTGCTGTTGTCTCTCTCGCTGACCCCTCTGCGGGTCCGGTCGTCGCGCGCAGTTCTACGTCCCTTCCCTGTCCGGCAGTTCCCTCGGGCTCCCTTACAGGCCTCCACGTTCCCTCGTTCTCCAGGAACCTGGTTGGTGTCGGCTGTCTCCAGGACCTCGGCGTCACCACCACGTTCCCCGGGCACGAGCGGTTCGCTGTCTGTTCTGAGGCTGTCTCAGGTTCCCCCTTGCGACGTTCCCCCGGGACCCGGTGTCCGGTCTGTTTACCCTACACACCGCTTCCCCCCCGGTTGGTGCGTTCCTCCCAGGTCGCTGCAGGCTTGCTCGTGTCGGTCCCTCACTCACCCGTCCCTTCTCTGGCACCACCGCTTAGGTCACCCTGCTCTCCCGCGTCTGCGTCACATGTCCAGCACGGTCTTGTCTTAGGTCTCCCCGCGTCGCTCTCTGCCCTTCCTCCCTCGACTGCGCCACCGTGCACGCCTTGCGTCGAGGGTCGGCTCCGCCGTGCTCCTCACTCCTCCTCGCTGCGTCCTGCTACTGCCCCCCTTCAGACCCTGCACTTGGACGTTTGGGGCCCTGCCCCCGTCCCCGGACCGCGCGGTGAGCGCTACTTCCTTGTGCTCGTCGACGACTACACGCGCTACACCACGGTGTTTCCCCTGGAGCGGAAGGCCGACGTGCCCGACGTTCTTCTCCCGTGGGTTGTGGCTGCGCGTCTCCACCGCGGTCTCCCCGTGTTGTGTCTCCACTCCGACCGTGGCGGCGAGTTCGCCTCTGGTCGGCTTGGACAGTTCTGTCGTGCGGAGGGCATCACCCAGTCGTACACATTGCCGGACTCGCCACAGCAGAATGGGGTTGCTGAGCGCCGCATCGGCTTGGTCATGGAGGTCGCCCGTACCTCCATGATCCATGCCGATGCCCCCCATTTTCTGTGGCCGTTCGCTGTTCGCTACGCGGCTCACCAGCTTAACCTGTGGCCACGCTCCCAGCGGCCGCATGTTTCGCCGACCCTCCTTTGGACCGGGTCCCCGGTGACGCGTCTGCGTTCCACGTCTGGGGCTGCCTTGCTCACGTTCGTGCCTCTGGCACGGACAAGCTCACTGCCCGCACTGTCCCCTGTGTCTTCTCGGTTTCCCCCTGGACTCGTCTGACTGGGCTTTTCTACCACCCCGCCGTCTCACCGGCTTCCTCCACTCTCGTGACGTCACCTTTGACGAGTCCGTCTCCTTCTACCGCCGCTTCCCTCACCGAGGTCTCCCAGTTGCCCCCCCCCTTTTCCTTGCTCCCTCTCCCCGGTAGCCCCTGCCTCTCTCCCGCCTCGTCCTGCCCTGTCTGGTGTCTCCCACGTCACTCCCCTCCCGTCGGTTGTCCCCGTTGAGGAGTCTGCTGACTCTGGTGGTACCCCGGTCCGTCCTTGCCGCGTCCCCCTTCCCCGGTGCCTCCGCCCCCACTGTCGCAGTCGCCGACCCCGCTGCCGCCGCCGTCGCCGTCGCCGCCGCAGCCGTCGCCGCTGTCGTCGCCGCCGCCGCCGCTGTCGCTGCCGCAGCCGTCGCCGCTGTCGCCGCCGCCGCAGCCGTTGCCGCCACTGCCGCCGCTGCTCTCGGCCCTGGGGGTGCTGGTGTGGAGGAGGGTGTTCGTCCTGCGGCTTCTGGGGGTGCCGCTGGTGTTGGAGGGGTTCTCGCTCTGGGGGTGTTGGTTCTGGGGGTGCTGCTGTTGAGTGTTCTGCCGACGGTCGTTCTGCCTCTGCTGGTCCGAGAGTTCCGGCCCAGCCGTCGTCGCCGCCGCAGCAGCCGTCGCCGCCGGTTTCCGCTCTCCGCCTGCTCGGCCTTCCCTCCCCGGACCGCGCGCCGGTGTCTCCCCCACCGCCTCCTGACCTCCTGTCTACGGTCCTGTGTTCCCGCCGCCAGACTCGTCTCCGGCCCGTCTTCCTCCTCGTTCCCCTCCTGTGTCTCCTCCGCTGTCCCCTGACCCTACCCCTCCGTCTCACGTTTGGGCTCGCCGTCCCTCCCGTGCTCGTCCCGTCTCTCTTGTCCTGCCCACCCACCCTATGTTGCTCCGTTCCCACTCGTCTCGTCCTCCCCTCCTCCGTCCCCTCCTCCCTCGTCCCTTGCTGTTGCACCTCCTCCGTTCTCTGACTACCTCCGTGCTGCTCGTCCCCTTGTCCCTCGGGTCCTTGCCTCTCTTGTTACCGGCCCTGCTGTTCCTGTCTCGCGCCTTGACGCGCTTGTCGCTGCTGTCGCTGACTTCGCTTCTACCCGCCGCCTTGACTACGCTACCGCTCTGGTCTCTGACCCTGCCCGTCCTCTGTCCGTCGGGGGTGCTCCTGCCCTTGGCAGTGACATCCTAGAGGACAGGCAGTACGAGCTGGCTTTCCTTTCCGAGGCTGCTCCCCATCTCTGCTCCATGCTGTTAGTCCCTGAGGGTGACCCAGACGCCTTCGACATCCCGACCCCTCGCACCTACGCTGAGGCCACCTCGGGACCTTGGGCCTCTCAGTGGATAGCTGCCATGGAGCAGGAGATGGCATCTTGGAGATCCACCGGCACTTACGTCGACGCAGTTCCCCCGCCTGGGGTGAACGTAGTCGATGGTCGGTGGCTCTTCAAGGTGAAGCGCCCCCCTGGAGAGCCGCCTGTCTTCAAGGCGCGCTACGTGGCCAGAGGTTTCAGTCAGCGCGAGGGGGTTGACTTCTTCCAGACCTTCGCCCCGACCCCGAAGATGACCACTCTTCGGGCGCTGCTACACGTAGCAGCACAGCGTGACTACGAGCTTCACTCCCTCGACTTCTCTACTGCCTTTCTTCAGGGCAGCCTACACGAGCAGGTCTACCTGCGCCGACCACAGGGCTTCACTGGTACCTTCCTCCTGGGACCCAGTGGCTTCTCAGGCGCCCGGTCTACGGCCTGCGTCAGGCTCCCCGCGAGTGGCACGACACGCTACGTGCCACGTTAGCAGACCTGCAGTTCTTTCCGTCCTCTGCTGACCCTTCACTGTTTGTGCGTTCCGGCCAGACTCCGTTCTACATCCTTGTCTACGTAGACGACCTGGTCTTCGCTACTCCTGACAGGGACGCACTGGCCTCTGTGAAGGCTGAGCTGCTGAAGAGACACACCTGCACTGACCTTGGAGAGCTGCGTCGCTATCTTGGCCTGCAGATCTCTAGGGACAGAGCAGCACGCACCATCACTCTGACCCAGTCACACTTGGTGCGTCAGGTCCTTCAGAGGTTCGGTCTTCAGTTCTCCTCCGCACAGCCCACACCTCTACCCGTAGACCATGGGCTCTCTGCTCCGTTCCTGAGGAGCCAGTAGAGCCCAGTGGCCCCTACGCAGAGCTGGTGGGTTGCCTCATGTACCTGATGACTTGCACTCGCCCAGATCTCGCATACCCTCTCAGCATCTTGGCTCGCTTTGTGGCTACAGGCAGACACCGACCTCAGCACTGGTCTGCCGCTAAGAGGGTTTTTGCGTTATCTTGCTAGTACATCAGGCATGGGGTTAGTGCTAGGAGGACGCAGGCCAGTGGTCCTTACTGGACACACAGACGCTTCTTGGGCAGACGACGCTGAGACGCTCAGGTCGTCGCAGGGCTACTGTTTCAGCCTTGGTTCGGGTGCTATCTCTTGGAGATCCACTCGCTCGTCGTCTGTGGCTCAGTCTAGCTGTGAGGCTTGAGATCTACGCTGGTGCCATGGCGGCACAGGAGCTCCGCTGGCTGACCTTCTTGCTCACAGACTTAGGTGAGCGGCCTAGCTCTGCCCCGGTCCTGTACGCTGACAACAGGGCCATGATACTCCTGTGTCAGGAGCCTCGGCTTGAGGGCAGAGCGAAGCATATCCAGCTGCGGTACTTCCTCCTGCGCGAGCTACAGCAGCGCCGCCAGGCCCGCGTAGTTCACTTGGCCTCAGGTGCCAACACAGCTGATATCTTTACTAAGGCGCTTGCGCCTAAAGATCATCAGCGGCACTGTGTACAGCTTGGTCTTGTTCCTATAGCTGCTCCCCTGTTAGGATCCTGATTGTGTACTCTCTATTATATATGCTTGTCAGACTGGCCTTGTGGCCTTACCTCCAGTGGCTGGACTAGTAGTGCCACCCTGGCTTGCTTCAGTTTTGGTTGTATTCTTGCTGACTGGTCTCCAGACCCCTGCCTCAGTGGTTGGACTAGTAGTGCCGCCCTGAGCTGTTTGCTTCTTGTTTAGTTTCACCCCTTGTCTAGCCTAGGGGGTGTGTCAACTTATACATATTATCTATGTAGAAGTTATAGGCTAGACTGAGGTATGCTTCTAGTGAGTACAACCAACTAGTATTTGTTCTAGGTTTCCACCTCTAGTAATCATTCGTTTCTACGTTAACAACATTAAGTTCTTGACATTTTGCCCACTATACTATCCAACCGTCCATAATTAGGTAGGATCCAGCACGTATACACCTGTTTCAAAATACAGGCACGCATTTTTTTTGCGCGGTGCGTGCATGTATTCTCCGGCCAAAACACCGGGCAAAAAGGGCTTGTACACTTCGGGGGCGGGAGTAGCCGGATTGTAGTCATTAAATGCGGACGGCCTATGTGCGTCCGTTTTGGTAACCGGCGCGAGAAACTTCTGACCCGCATGAAACGGGTCATGTTACAAACAACAACAACATTGCACTACGTTTATGACACAACATATACAAAATTACAACACTTAGTTTACAACAGTGGAATGTATTTTCCAGAGATGACACCATGTTCCAACTCCTGCCCAAGTCCACATTTTCAGCCTTCCCATTTCAACCATATCCACGGTGCCGTGCTCCCCAAACTCCCGTAGTACCCAACGACACTCTCTGCCGCTGTCTCTCCACCCGCAATCTTCCAGCGCGTCCGCTTTACCAGCCGCGCAATCTCTCCGCCCGCTCGCCTTCCGCCGGCCGTTGTCCGTCTCTTCCCATCCCCGCTGCTCCCCGCGCCACCGCCGCCTTGCATGGTAACACACGCCGCGGGGCTTGGCACCCCCGGGCTCGGCGTGCCAGACGGACTGCCGCCACACTCCAATTTTCGTTGCCGGTTGGCGGCTAAGCTTGCCGGCAGGTGCAGCAGGTCTCCTTCGGCCGGCGGGATGGGCGACGGGCGCCCATCGAGTAAAGAACCTTCGAGGTGAGAGGTAGAAACACACGCTCTGCTGCTAGTGCCGCAAGCGCCGCCTCAGCTTTATTCGCTTTGAACGCATTCGCAGGCTGTAACACCGCGGCTTCGAATGGACCTTCGGGGAGTCGGTTCGACCAGGTCCGACAGCAACGCCAGCCACTCGATCACTTTGCGGTGCTGCAGAAGCTGCTGACGTGGCCACTTTGACGTCAGCCCGCTGCTGCGGCTGCTGCCATGAGGCGGCTGATGCTGCGTCGCCTGCATCAGCAGCAGCAGCGCTTCCTGAGACGCGGCGACGGCGCGACACCGCTCGCTGGCACCGGCCCTACCAACCCTGCTAGGCCCGCAGAGTTCTCGAAATAAGAGGAGTCGCCGTGACGGTTGGAGTGACGGGTGTCGCCGAGTCCTCGCGCAGAGGTGAGGGCGGCAGAGTTGGACAGGTGGAGTTGCGACTGAAGTTGCCACGTGTGCCGCCTCCACAGATCTCCCACCTCGTTGTCGTTCTCGTTCTCGTCCGACCCGCGGTCTTCCTCGTCGCTCCTCGACTCCCGCGGCGAGTTCCTAGCGCCGCAACCGTCGGCGGCGCATTGACGAGTAACGATAACGAGTAAAGAGCGGGCAAATATGTTGTCAGTTGGGCGAAAGCGGAGATGGATGGGGTAACAGTGTGTGGCTGGAGGTTGTTCGGATAGACGTGGCTCATACCCACGCATTTGAAGTTCGTAGAACACGCCTGCTAACTGCGCTGGCGTACGCTGACGTGTTCATTGGTGATGCATTCGAACATCAGAATCTGTTCTTGCTAGAAACTTCTTTGTTTATGTGGCGTGTTAAAGGCTCGTTGGCTGACGAAAAGCCTTCTAGTGACTTCGCTAGGACGTTGTTTTTCGCTAATGTAATCTTCTGAACGAATCCTATAGGTTGCTGTAAAATCTGTGCGCTATCTTGTACAGTACACTCTTGTGGGTCGTTTCATGTGGAACAGCGATTGTGCATATACACTAGGGGATAAGAGCAGGGTGTATTCGTCAATGGGTCCTTAACCGCGATTGGGCGAGTAGCACGGATGTCTGTAGGCGGGATCATGTGTACTCCAACTGTACGGAGTACAACTACTGTAGTGCATGCGGTGAACGTCGCAAAATATCCCGTCTGCCAATGAAATTTCGTGTTGTTACCCTCTGTAGAAATTTTCGCAACTCCATCTGACCGGTGTGTCGTGCAGACGTTCACCCATCGCGCGGTTACGGCAGGTACCCCAGAAAAACTCGGGTACAGTTCTCAGCTACGAAAAACACATTTTCTACAATTTCACCGACTAACCATGTGGTATTTAAACCATCGCAGAGCTCGGTAGGTAACCGTGACCCCAGTTGCCGCTCCAGCTAAAACTTGCAGAATTCCCACCTGGAAAATACCCGACGTTTTAGCGATGCGCCGACATTCACCCATCATTGCGCCCGTCCAGGTAATCCCGAATGAGTCCTCGTAGCCGAATCTTCGATTATAGTCCCGCAACTCATGAATAATCCTTGAAGACTCCAGCGTGACTCCAATTTTTCCGTGACGGCAACACGCTTCTCCCATTGCAATAGTAACCCTTGTCTTCCCGAAGCTCCATTTGATGAATACACTCTAGATCTGGGGGGAATCCACCGTGTTCTCATACTCAAGTAAGCGCAAACGCTATCAAAGTTGGGCGAATTAATCAGCATACTTCGTGGGCAATCGCTTTGAATCTTACATGAGGGATTCTCCTACCCTCCATGAAAAAGTCGTCTCTGCAAAAATCTCCTCCAAATTGCTGCAATATTTCTTCAACTGCCGCCTTACGATAAAGCCCCCGCAGGCCGCTGTTCACCCAGCACCCACATTTGTCGTTCTCCCAACAGTACCGTGCACGTTCTTTCGAAAAGCTTGCAAATCCGTCGATCTCAGCGACAAATCCTCGCCGTTCGTATCGGACTCTAGCTCCGCGAACTAACCGATCGCCGTCGCAAAAATCCTTCACTTTTTTTTTTCACCAATCGTTCGCTGTCGTGTAGGGCAGAAAACATTTCTTCGTCGTTCCACCAGCACTGGGTGATCCGCAAGCTCATCCTCCTTTATTCGTCGGAGCGGTCGATAGCATGTATCTTACTACCACCCAGTGGAGATGCTGAAAATCGGCGACCCAGCCAAGCCAACCGGGGATCTGTCTGCCGCTGACTCTTAACCAGCTGTATAGAATCTGCAAACACAAACACTTGGAAAGCCTCAAGTGTTTCGCCTAGGATCTTTACAAGAATGGTAGACTAGTAAGACAGCGGAAGTCCTATAAAGTGAACCTGAGTATATAGTTCTGTGGAAGTCAAGTCTTAAAGTCCCAAAATTGAAATCTCAAGGTTAATAATAGAAAGGCATAACAAGGATTTATAGCTCTAGGAAAGTACATATTCGCTAATGTACCTGTTCGTCACTATCGCGCTATGCGCCCTAAATGACAATGAAGAGATGCGACTGTTCGCATGACTGAAACGACTGTCCTCATGACGAGCGCTATTTGCTGACGTCATCCTACGGACTTCTCTCTACAGTAGGATTCGACACTATCTACCGATAATCGACTTACAGAAATGCTAAGTATGAATCATATCACAACACTCCCCTTCATTTCTGAAAGTCCGATAGTGTCACTTCTTGAAGACCCCGCAAAGCTTGTTACAGTATTGAAACTTCTGTCGTGTCAGCTTCTTCGTGAGGAAGTCGGCAGCCATTTCGTTGGTCAAACAATAGACCAATCGCATCCTCCCCTTCTCGACCTCATCCTTGACGAAAAAGTAACGCAGTGAAATATGTTTCGTCCTGTTGACGAAGCCAGGCTGGTGCGCGATGCGAATTGCACTTTGGTTGTCGCACTGCAGAGTAAATTGAGTACCCGTCGTCAACTTCACTTCTTCCAATAGTTCCTGTAGGTAAAGTCCTTCGCGTGTTGCTGTGCAGACAGCGATTAAATTCAGCTTCAGCAGAGGAGAGAGCAATCAGCTCCTGCTTCTTCGTCGAATTCTAATAAATAGGCCCGATAGGTTCAAGGCGGTAGATAAATCCAGTACGCGATCGTCGATTAGTAGAGCAGCGCGTGATCGGCGTCGACGAAACCGTGTAGATACAGTGTTTTACAACCGACGACGTTGTAGACTAAACCAACGTCATGTGTCGATATAAAATACTGAAGCGCGCGGAGAAGTTCGAGTTGATGCTCCTCTTCAGGACGGCGTAGGAACTGAGCGAGTTGACTAGCAGCGTAGGCTAGATCTGAACCGCAAGTAACAGTGGCGAAGAGTAAACAGCCTAACTGCTGTTGAAAACCTGTAAACCGGTTAAACTCAATGGTGCAGTATTCGGTTTGTGATCTGTCAGTAGTGAGCGGTATGGTGTAGAGACTGCAGTAGGAGTAAGGTTGAAGCGAGCAACGAGTGGCTGCGTACTTCGAAGCAGTGAGGTGAATAGACGTCGGTTAACAGGTAATGTTAGACCGAGAAACTGTGAGACTGTTTCGGAGACGGTAAGCTGTAGAATTTTCTGTAGTTTCAGTATAAAAGTATCGGCGAGTGAATCGGTAGTGCTGACGTAGAGAATGTCGTCGACGTAGGCAACGAGTCAAATATCGTTGCTGCCGTCAGAAAGAAGATACATCCCTTGATCATGCGATAGTTGTCGAAATCCAGCAGTGATAAGTTGTGAGTGAAGATACTGCTGCCAGAGCTGGGGTGCTTGTTTAATGCCGTAAAGTGACTTTCTGAGACGGCATACGCTAGGTGGGTTTGTAGTATCGAGTGTGGGTACTCTACCAGAATGAGTGCATCGACAGGTGCATAGAGAAAGGCGTTTGACACGTCAATTTGTCGAAGTCATAGATTACGGCAGGCGGCGACACAGAGCAGAATTTGAACGCTTGTATGTCGACCAACGGGAGCAAAAGTCAGCTCGTAGTCAATGTCGTAAGTCTGCTCGAATCCGTGAACAACCCATCGCGCCTTGAACTTCTCAAACGATCCATCTGCATTAGTCTTGACACGGGAAGACCCATTTTCCGGTGAGTACCTTTCTTCCTTTACTTCTGATGTCGGTATTAACTCCCATGTGCCACAACTCTTGAGAGCTGCTAGCTCCCTGTCCATGGCTTCGCGCCATTTTTCGTGGTGAGGACTCGTAAGAGCTTGTAGAACGGTTTTCGGTTCAGGTATTTTACTGTCGTTTGTACTGTGTTGCGACTGCGAATCCAAGTATCTGTAAGCCGGTTTCTGGTAAAACACGGACGTTCTTCGTTTGCACCTGCGAAATCTTTTTCTCCTCCTTCCCCCAATTTCGTCAGGTGTAACACGAACTGCTTCGTCGGAGATGACGGGCATCGGCTGCTTGTTGTCGATCGCGTTCGTAACTGAGGTGGACTTCGCGGAAACATCATCCGGATCAGCATCTGCGAAAGGAATAAGTTCCGGGACGCCAGTCGACGTAACAGGTTCGGGAATATCCGTTGCGGCAGCTTCGAAGGCTTCGACACTGCTTCGTCCTGTACATCAGCTTGGCTTCGTCAGTTGCAAAGGCACGCGAGCCTTCAAACAGCGTGGCAGGGTTGGCAGTTGCTGCCTGGTGGGCACGAAAAACTGGCAAGGTGAGTCTTTCATAGAAGAGACAATCACGTGAAGGGACGATTTTGTTGGAGCGAAGATCCAAAAGTTTTCGTGCATGATACTGTTTTTCGATGCCGAGGTGTACCCCCCATTTTGCCCGTTCTGAAAAATTGCGGAGTGCTGCAGTTGGAGGACGAAACTGTACAACACACCCAAAAACTCGTAAAGTTTGGTACTTCCACTGTTCGTGTCCACTGCAGGTGCGGAGAAGAAAACTCGAGGAGTGCCGTGGAAGATAGCAGGTTGTGTAACAGCACGGCATGGTCCATCGCATACGGCCAAAAGCGAGGAGGAAGAGCTGCCTGCGTCAGCAGGGCACGCATCTTCTCCTGCAGAGTTTGATTCATCCTTTTGCTACCCCCATCTGTTGGTGTACATGCGGCAGTGACTGCTTCCGTTTGATGCCGCGGGTTTGGAGGTAGTCGGTGAAGGTGGTGCTCGTGTATTCCCCTGCGCCATCACTCTAGAATTCTTGCAGCTTCACGCCAGACTCTTGTTAAGTGACAGGGTGCCATGCGACGAAGACGGAATGAGCGAGATAACGCGCAAGAAGGTTTGCTGTCCAAACGTAGTGTGTAGATGCTTCGATGAACGTAATCACATACTGCTCCTCTTTAGGTCCTGCTTCACGTAAATTGAGTATGTCGCTGTAGACTTTCTGCATTATTTTATTAACGTTTTGAGCCAGGAAAATGACTCGGAAACGGATCGTGTGGTAAGGTTGGCGACTAGACACGTGGTGCAAATTCGGACGAGACTGCGGCTTCATCTCCGTGCCTCATGTAAAGTAGTAGACTGTTTTTATCAAGAACTGCTGCGCGGATTGAATGATTTATAATCCATTGCGACGGATTGCCCTAACCGTTGATGCCAAATTTCTCTGTGGCT